GATGTCGAGCCCCGCCGTAGGTTCAGAGTCGTGGACCAACCAGACTTAACTTATACTTTACTAGGTTGGATGTGGTATCTTGCGATGTTCATCTTCCTGCAAGTTGCCGTTATACTGCTTCAGCAGCGTTTTGGACCGGCATTCTTCCTTCCAAAACGAGTAGGTTGCATTTTTTCAGTTGTATGGATGTTTTTGATGAGCATTGCAGTTTGCTCGTGCGCAAGTGCACGACTATCATCCAGCATTACCGCTTTCTGCCGCTGACCCAGAAGCGCCTGACGAATCTCTCGGGGACTGCGCTATTTGCATGGAGGCTATTCATACCGAAGATGAGAAGCAGCTAGAACATGTCACTGGTGGATTGCTGCGAAATGTCGGAGCAAGGCGAAGCTACAGTCTGGCTCCTTGTCAACATCTATTTGTGAGTTCTCGATATCATTTATGTGCAAACGGCACGCTCATACTGTTGAACAGCATACGGAGTGTCTGGAGAAGGTACGTTTATTGCTTCCTGTCGGATTCTAGATGCTAATCTCCACCTTCTGCTAGTGGCTTGCTATCAAGGTAACAGTCTATATAAACGAATGAGACTGCATATTGATCGATCTTCTCAGAATATTTGTCCTCACTGTCGCAGGCCCCTTCCGCCACTTTGATAGCTCTGATATCTAAAGTACACCATCATCAACACTATCTCAGTACTACATACCTCGCATCTCTTGTATTGCATTTTGCTGTTAATTCTAGTTATCTGTACTTGTTCGCAAGTGTTTCATACTTCAGCTAGTCGATACTTCGCGGATCCGACTAATGTCGCTTCCGATTATGATATGGTAAGCTCACTGTGTGTTTACTAACACCGTCCCCACCCAAACCTCAACAGGTGAGCCCTCCGCTCCAGGAATCTGTGCGACCTCCTCAAAACGTATGCCGATTTTCTCTGCCATTTCCCAAAGAGTACGTTCTGCCACGTCTCGCTCTTTGTAACCAAGAATGATCAGTGGAGGTTTTGCTGGCGTGACACTCATTGAAAACATGATAAGCCTGGAGAGTGTTCCGATGAGTGCAGGGAACGATGCAGTGTTATATGTAACATCTGCCATCCTAGTATGAAAGCTCAAAACATTTACCGATGCAGGTTGATACATACTCACACGATCACATCGATGCCATTGACAAATGATGCCACCTGGGTGGATATGTCAAGTTCATCCCAGTCGAGAACAACGCCCTTAGGTGCGTTTCCAGGGTGGTAGAGAGATTGATTCGAACTCATATTGCTCTGCAATAGGGGCAGAGCAGAGGCTGAACGCCACAATGAGTGATTGTATCCGTTTTACTACCACATCGCTGCTCACGCAAATCGGTGGTTATGATTTTTCCTGCTGTGACAGGAGTATCAAGGCCTTGCAAAATACCAAGAACGATAGCAACTATGCCAGTTCCTGCGCCTACTCAGAGTCAGCACTGCAAGGAATATTACCTCGCTGATAGCTCACACCTAGCTCGAGAACATCGCATTTGGAGGCGAAGAGTGTATTCTTCACCTTTGAAACCAGGGTGGTGTTGGCAACCATCCCGGAGTGAAGTTGTATTAACCAAGAGCTAAGGCCGATACCGCTGTCCCATATTTTCTGTTGGAGCCTCATTTCAACCATCTGCAGCGAGGTGGGCTGATGTCTGACTTGCCTTGTCAAGGTCAAAGGAGGTTTGTTCAATAACATGGAATATCACATGGTTATATCTATTGTTTGCAGTTAACGCATATGATCTCTGAATCCGCTCCTGCTTTACAGCCTTGTTTGGGCGAGCGGAGAACAAGATAGGGTCGGAGAGGACAGGGAATGGTTGGCGCCCCAGATTTTCATCGTTCAGGGAAAGTACCTGATCTTTTCGTGATGTTCCAGAGCTAAGGATAAGGCGCCAGTACTCTCCATTGCGGACATTTCGAGGGGGCGGGACGGGTATTTCCTTGTACATCGTAGATGCCCTCCAGCTGGTCAACTTCACGGGCTTTGTTATTACTGGGCTTGGTGTGGCCGAATGCAAGGACCACGAATAAAATATATCTTGAGCGTCTGTGTAATATTCTGTCCGTAGATCATTGGCGATTTGAGGGGTGATGAGGATGGGTTCACCAGATAAGGCGGCTTGGGTGGGAGGTGGCCGCAAGAATGAAATGTAGTAGAACATGGTTCCTGTGACATAGGCCAGGCGCTCGAGATGACTTGCCTGATGCTTGATGTGTCCAGGTACTAGATCAACCCATGTCAGTAGGGAGCGAAAACAGATGCGGGACTGGGGTCAATCGGACGCGTCGCCCGATTTGGCGAAGACATCTTCTGTCTGTGACGCACACGTTAACATAACATGTCTTCTACTATCAACATCCTGAAGACGTCTCGATATTTGCGGCCATGCATTCATCCCTCGAGTCGCTCTTTTGTCCATTCTTTACCGCGTAACTTTCCAAGGATAGGGCGGTTTACGTCGGAGAAATCATTCCAGAGCACACCGCCAACTTTTCGTGACCAAGTTGCCCGTTCAACTGAAGTAGAGTCTTTCAGCTCTCGATTTCCCCGGCCAACAATACGGAATCAAGTTTTGGTTAGCAAATTTCATTTGTTCATGCTTTAGCTAGCTGGCTTATGGCTTATTAGTTTTTTGTTGGTGGGTCTTTACTCGCGTATTCGATAGCTGCAAGTCAAACCGAAGTCGACACCGAGTACTGGTCAAAACATCTGGTATCTGTCTCTCACAGATGGACTCCGCGACCACCAACTACTGAAGAGATGAGAAAGGCTCAGTACCTAGAGCTTGGCAAGGTGCGTTTCACTCTTTTCCGAAATTCTTCATCATACATTTTATCCTCTTCAGCATTTGCAAACCCAAGTAAATCAACTTAAAGATACTTTGGCGGAATGGCCTCTTGCATTGCGCAACCTCGCTCTTTCCGTCTACGTTCAAGCTGCACAGTCATACCTTGATGCCCCCGAAGGCAGAAGATTGTGCTGGTTGATTTGCGGCGTCAACACGGCTATATATCTCGTGTGGAAGATACCACGACTCGCGCCATTCATGACCCGAACTTTCACTCACCACCCCTTGTCGGGACGCTCATATACTCTGCTAACGAGCATGTTTAGTCATAAATCCTTCATCCATTTGTTGGCAAACTCAATGGCCCTAGCTAGCTTTGGTGCGCTAGACACCTCTCTAGAGGGACATCCTAACTTCTTTCCTCTATAAAGGCTCGGCCGCCACGCACTATTTTACCCTGGAACAACTCAAACATGGTGAACATCAGCAAGAAGCCACTGCCAAGTGGCATTTCCTTGCCTTCTTTATCTCTGGTGGGATGCTTGTGTCAGTCTTTGTTGTCTGGTTTACTCATCTTTTGAAGCCGGACTCTTCTCTGGTTTGGTTAGCCACACTGCTGCTTGCAAAGTTCTCTTCCCTCGCCTTGTCAACCAGTTCACGGCATCTGCAGTCATAAAGAACTCTCCAGCAGCTGCTGCAATTTCTGGCACAGCTGTAAAGACTGCAACTGCTGCTCCGCGGGAGATTTTACCGTCATTAGGCGCGTCTGGCGCCATTTACGCAGCTGTGACAGTCAGCGCATTAGCCTTTCCAGACGCTCAAGTCAGCCTCATTTTCCCTCCTTTCGTTTCGATACCAATTCAAGCGGGAGTCGGTGGTCTCGTCATACTTGACATGATTGGCATCATACGCGGCTGGAGGTGGGTGCAAAAAATGTGCGTGAGAACATCACTAATCTTGGTGATGCCATTGAAACAGGATGTTTGATCATTATGCTCATCTTGGTGGCGCGGCGTTTGGAGCAATATATTACATGTACGGGCCACAGTGGTGGACCTTCATGAGGGGCGAGTATCAACAACTACACTCTCCCACATCCACATCTTAGACGGTAACATGTCCTAGGAGACTATTATAATCCATTCTCAGCCATTATTAATACTTGACAATGCAACAACGCATTAATGATCACTATTGTACAACGGCAGGTAGCAACGTTTCTTGGGGAACATTTTTCGTGGCATGATCAATCAAGTGATATCGATACGCGTGGCCTCCTGCTCCCTTGCAATTTTTGGGAAAGTGACTTTCAAAACTCCATTCTCCATATCTGCATGGACGTTGTCAGGCTGCAGGTGACTTGAGCTTCGGCCCATGAAGGTAGCAAGCTGGGTACAACACACCTCTGTTCCTACAGGTAGCTGCAAGATACGAGAGAACTTTCCGTATGTGCGCTCACGCACAGCGTAATCCTTCTCTGTGTGATCCTTCTCTGCACTCATTTCCCCTGAGATGGTGAGGCGGTTCTGCTGCACGTCAATTGTGACATTCTTCGGCTGCATGCCAGGCAAATCAAACACGGCCATGACTGTTTTGTTATCCTTTAGCTCGACCAAATCCATCCTACTCAAAGTCAGTGGTGCAATGATTCGGAGTATGCACATACTTTGGACGGAATGTCCCGACACGAGACCCGCTTTCGACGGCTCGGCTGACATCAGATGTTGGACGGAACCGGGCACTGAAAGCATCGTCGAAGAGGCGCTCGAACTCGGTGAAAGGGTCATAGTGGAAGTGAACAAGAGACATGATAATAAATATGTACGTGCTCGATTCAAGTTTGTAGTGATGGGCGTTTTGACGAGAGATAAAAATTTCCCTCCTGACAGTAATTTATATTTCTCTAGAACCCCTAGCTAGACCCTCCTGTGTTTCGTGGTCATACTTTCCGTGTCGGGAGGTTTGTTTCAACCGGATATCAAAATAGGGTTGAAGAGGGGCATACTGGATTTCGAATTCAATAGTTGATGACCTCATCAATCGGGCCCTAGCCGCCGGCTTAGGAGGTTATTTTTCCCTCTTTGTACAAAGCTAAATACTTGCAAATAAACCTATCAACCCCTCCACCTCCCGCAACGCCCCTATGGCAAGTCTTAGGTAAGGTTGATATTTCGTTCTTCGTCAGATAGTGCAGTGTACTTCAGAACTCGAGGGTAAATATGAACACGAGGCGCGGAACGACTCTAATTATCTGAAGAAAAAAACAAGGACATCTATGTAAACGCGTTCAAGGGCGTCCAAAAATTCTTTGGCCAGCGTTCTTGGCCAACTCCTGTATTCCTGCGCCAATCATCCCGCTGACCATTTTTGAAGTACTAGCGGCCCCTGCTAGACTCTCGATGCTCTTGGCAAATAAGTCCCATCCGCTTGCATTTTGCAACCGAGAGCTCGCTCCAGCATTCATCATCAACGCGGCTTTCACTGAGTCAAGCTCGTTAATCACTTCAAGTCCCACAGATCGCGCCCACACCACCGGCTGCGCTGTAGAAGAGTAGACCTTGTGCAGCTTGTCGACCGTTGACATCACCTTGTGGTTCTCAAAATAGCGTTCCCGCGCGTAGGGTATCAGAGCCGTATACGAGCCTGAAGAGATGGTCAAAGGGCACTTCTCAATGAAGAAAGACGCGTCTCACCGATGTCTCCTCCGTGTCTCAGAGCTTGTATGATGCACCTTGATAGAGCGTCGACGTCTCCCAGGCCCAGGTTTAAACCTTGTCCTGCTAGTGGATGGACGGTGTGTGCAGCATCACCGACTAAGACTGTGCGGCTTCCTGCGCCCTCCCCAATATAGGATTCAGCATGGTTGTAGCGAAGCGGAAAACTTGCTATGGTGCCCTGCTGAATTGATGTCACGAGGGGAGGAAGCGCATCCGCATCATCCGGGGGAATACCACCATCTGAAAGCATTGAAGTGGCAGATGCATACGCAGAGTGACTTGAAATGCCGTCCGAGCGTTCCCTGAACACGATTTCTTCATTTATCTCCTCGCTTGACTTAGCGCCTTCAAGCAGTCGTCTGTAGATATACTGGAGAGATGGCTCGGGGAGGCGGAAAGCGGCATTGATTAATTGTTCCAAAACTCCTGGAGATGATTTGTTCAGCGCTGCTGCCAAATGAGGTTTGGTCGACCATACAAGCGAAGAGGTGCAAGGAGAGAGCGGCAGGAATGCAATCGGACCCGTCGGGAGGAATCTCTGGTAAGCTGTGTTGTTGGGTACTTGGAATGGTCCTCGCGGCGCGTGATTTAGTGTTGCGACAACCGCTTGCGTGTCATATGACCATCCATATGATGAGATCCCAGCGAACGACCTTACCGGGGAGTTGAACCCGTCGGCGCCGACCAGCAGCCTTGCGCGTAGGGTGACGCCATTGGAAAGATGAACGAGAGGCCAGTCATTGTGATCACCTGTCTCGCGTTGTATCGATTCGACTTTGACGCTGTGAATTACCTGGACACTCGGGGTATCCGAAAGCTTTCTTAGCAGTGCGCGTTGGAGGTTCAGGTTTTCGGTCATTCGAGCCATTTCACTCGACTCCGGTATTACAGATGCGTCAAAGTTGATGCGAGCGCCGGAAACACCGTCCCACACCTGATATGAGACAATTGAGCACTAAAGGACGATGTCACTCTGCAGAGACAGCACCTGCATCTGGTGAATAGGATTCGTGCGTGCATGTTCGACGTAGTCCCAAATTCCAATCCCTGAAACCAGTAAGCTATGACATCAAGCACCTTCACAAGGTACACGCACTGTTCAAGAAATGTTGAGACGTGTGTGTGATGGAACTGACGCGGTTTGAGTACGCGTTGGGCGGCATGCCCCAATCCTGTATTTTGGACAAGTCCCCCCCTTCTATTAGCGTGATTTTGAGTGAATTCTTGGCGATAGGGTTCGCAGCTGCGCATAATGCTCGAATAAGAGCGAGACGTGAGCAAAAAAAGCGACGCACCAAGGGCAGCTGCCAAAGCCAATCCTGCTGGCCCGCCTCCTACTATCACGATGTCATTATCTCTCGCATGTTCAGAACTAAAAGATCTGAGAAACAGCCTCCGTCGACATCCCAGACGCGCTGATGACCTTGGCTTTGCAAAAAAGGCCATGAAATAAATCACAAGTTTATGAGATTGAATGTGTGACTTTAACAGGCGCCTATTATGTACACGCGCCAGTGGCCAGCCTTTAATGTACCTTAGGTCGTGTGGAGTCTGGACTGTGTTATTTCTGAAGTCACTTTCACTTATTCCTCGATTCAATCATTCTCTCGTAAGATTTATTTCCTTGTAACAGTAATCCTCGAATATTGGAGGTCAGCCTGGCCGCCGTAGCTCCCATGGCTGCCCCGCAGGTATCTGCTGCGCAAGCCATCGGCGAGTACCTCCAGTCTCCTGATGATCTCCTGAAAATCTCAGCATTCCGGAAGAAACTGGAGAAAGAGAAGGCTTCAATTGATGCCAGACTCAAAAGTGGCGTCAAAGAGCAGCTTGATACAACTCGGGAGGGACTCACGAAATTGCTTGGGACGCGAAACAACGTTCAGGTCATAAAGGAGGAGATGCAGATTGTGGACAGGATGTGCTCCGACCCTCAAAATGTTGTGTCAACCTTCGACCAGATCAGCAGGGTGCGTTATCTATTGTTCACACATTCAGCCAGCTTGAGGTCGTACAGGTGTCTATGGTGCACAGGAATTTCGAACAGACGGAGGAGATGGTCAACAATCTACTGGAGATGAACTCGAAGCTTGACGTACTAGAGGAATTATTGGAAGCGGAGAGCAGGACCATCATTGGGCCCGCTCCTAATCTCCTTCCAATCCACTTTCACATCAACCGTCTGGAGGCATTCCGAAATCAGACCATGCATCAAGCAAAGAAAGCTTCTGCCAATTCGCGCCAGAAACTTGCGCGTATGTTTGAGCGGTTGAACAAGCTCATTGAAAATTTCGAGGCATACATCATGGAGTTAGCCTGCAACGTGCTGCCACTTGTTCGTGCAGGGTATCCGCAAGTTGTGGTAAAGCTCATAAAGATCGCGGAGCTTGAGGCACGGGAAGACGAAAAGGTATGACACACTGCATCATCCACATAGAACGAAGTTGATATGTTATAAGGCTATCGCTATCAGGCTCGTTAAAAAAGCTGCCAAGATGGATGCGGCATCTAAATTCAAGTCCATGCAGGCAAATGCCCGTATCATTAAGCACTACCGCTCTAAAGTTACCAAAGCCATATCGGACTCTATTAAGGCTAATTTTGACGACGCATATACGCGACATCAGCACGACCCTGGCGCCTTTCTCGGTGGCCTTAGTTGGATATATCAAGACCTCATCCGCATCGAAAGCGATGTGGTACCATGCTTTCCGCCGAACTACGAGATGCATGCGTTCTATATCAAAGAGTACCACCGTACTCTGAATGCGACTCTTCAGCGCATCATCGAATCGGAGCCTGACGCGAGCATCATGCTCGACCTTCATGCCTGGATCAAGGAGTACAAGAAGAGCATGACAGAGTTGAATGTAGCTCCGGAGCTCCTTGATCCACCGTTGCTTGGCGGCGAGGAGCAGAACCTTATCGAGGACTACTTGAAATTGATCGTCAAGAAGCTTGATGAATGGTCTGCGAACCTAATGAAGACAGAGATTCAGGAGTTCATCACGCGCTCGGATCCACCTGAGGTGGACAGCGACGGACTCTATGGCACGCAGGGCGCGGTTATTCTGTTTCAGATGGTGAACCAACAAATCGATGCAGCCACAGAAAGTGGTCAAGGAGCTATCCTTGCTCGTGTGGTGGGTGAGGTGAATCGAGTTATGAGGAACATACAGGATCAATGGACCAAAGTTGTTGAGGCAGAGCTGAAGAAGCAAACGGAGAAACCGGAGGAGGTCGTCGGGGGTCTGGCAGAGTATTGCATTGCACTTGCCAACGACCAGATCAAGTCCGCCGATAACACCGAGGCGCTTCTAGGACGACTCGAGCCCCTTGTATCAGAGAAATACCGAACGCCCATTAGTGAGAAGCTCAATGACGCCATTGACGGAAACTTGGATGTTGCGAAGAAATGCATCCAGACATTCATTGATATTATCCTCAACGACTTGAAGCCCGCGACGAAGCAACTTTTCCAGCCAACATGGTACGACGGTATCATGGAACAGATCGTGCTTACGATGCGGGATTACATGGCCGATCAATCTTACATCAATCCATCGCTCCTCGAGCTTCTTGTCGAGTATCTGCTTGACGCCTTCCTGGTTACTTATCTTACTGCACTCGCCAACTGCCCAAAACTACGCATACCAGCAGCAACGGAGCGCATCAAAGAGGACATCAGTACTGTGTTCTCCTTCTTCAGCGGGTTCAAACCCGCCAAAGAGCTCGAGCCATACTTTGAGGTGGTGGACTTGATTTTAGCGATGTTGGAAGCGTCTAAAAGCATGGTTTTCCTGTCGTTTTGGGCCTTCGCAAAAGTACACGGGCCATGTATACCGTTCGTGGAAGGATTGATGAAAGTTCGAGGAGATTTCGATCGTTCTGCTGTCAGCGAAGTCATGGATAGCATCAAGCGGAAAGTAAAAGATGAAGGCCTAACTGATCGTACGTGATTCTGTGAATTATGCTCATCGCAGCGATGCTTATTCTTCCACCTCAGCTCCGGAGCCGACGATCATGAAGAAGATAACGGTTCAAAGCACGCTATCACGTTTCTTGCGGACATAACCTGACTGACATTGTTATTTATTTCCTTTCGGTTTCTCTGTCTATCGCACTGTATTGTACTCGCATGATATCCGCCATATTGGAATACAAAGGATCGTTTCATTGTGGCTTAGAGCCTTTAAGCTTTATGTCGTCTAAGTACATGGACTTGAATCTACATTATTCAGTCAGTCTTGGTCTTATCTGCAGCCGGGTTGGAGCGATCAGGTAGGATTGCAGCTACTTCATCTATCTTCTTAAACTGCCACGGGAACCTAGAGGGATAGAGAAAAGGACGGAGATCAAATCCTGTGCGACAATGTCAGTCTGGGCAACTTGTGATGTGGAGTTTTGAGCGTAACATACTGTTGTCATCTGGGCTGTAAGATTCCTACAACAAAGTCAGTCTTATATCAGTCTATGAAGATAAATATGCCTACTGCATGATATGCCGGTGTCAGAGTTGTCATCTTATGACGGTTGCGCGCATATTCAAAGAAGAAATGCTTGACTTTCTCTGCGATCTAGAAGACGTAATCAGCAGATTGCACTTAACCTTGAATGATGACATACTTGAACGGGAGACAGGAATGAGCCCCACTCATGCACCAGCTTCGTGAACATGCCATATGGTCCACACTTCTCCACTTTGCGGAAACGACCGAAGACTGATAGTTCATCATACGTCATGCCCATGTCCGCCTATCAAGTGATCAGCACTATTGAGAGAACACTTTCGAGTGAATATTCACCTCATCCGCTTGGACATATGTCTCTGAAATTGGCTCTAGCTCAGCGGTCGGTACGGCGGTCAAAAAACTGCAGAACATCAGGAAAAAGTGCCGATCCTAATAACCCAGCTGTACTAACTCGTTCAAGATGGGAATTTCAAACGCATCCCCAGCGTAGGCAATGAACTTCTTGAGATCAGTCTTACTGATGCTGCCAATAGGATTGATATCAGCTGGTATTAATGTTAGTTCAGTTGGCATTTCTTTCGAGATAGGCTGACCTGCTGAACAATCGTATTTTGTGAAATAACCGCGGAGACTGAACCCTAAGTCAGTCAATTGTCATTATTCCAGCCAGTCGGCATACCTTTCATCAACGTTCGCACTGCCAAGGACGAGGAGTGCACCCTGTCTGCCTCGCACCCAAGGAAGTAGTTGAGCGAAGAGATAAGCAAGGAGCATCCGTAACCGTGCCTGACAGCAGTCATCAATGACCATGTAGATCCCGATTCATGGTACTTACCTGGATGTTCTGCAGCGCCAAATTCTCCGCGCCCGATCCGCCATGGGCTCTGAACTGAGGTCGCATACCAGTAACGAACGCGAACAGGTCACGGACAGAGGTGACAAGAGTGTCCATGTTGAGGTCTACATGGTAGCTAGATTTATTTTTAGTCGAACGTCTCAAGGAATAAAGTGTACGCATACCTTCCAATCGCTGCTGAGAGGTCCTTGGCCCTCTTTCTCGTTTCTGCGCTAGAGTTCTCGGTGCCCATGTAACACGTGTGGAAGATCTTGTTGCAAAACTCATGCGGGTCCAAAGGGGTATAAACTGAGTCTTCCGGCTCTCCGACCATTCGTCTTGCATCAAGAATAACTTGCTTGTCTGATTAAAGTGATCATGTTAGCCAAAACACCAAATCTAGCAGATGAATGGCAGTACCTCCCTTGCGTGCAGCCTCAGCCACGAGGCGGCACATGGAATATACTATCACAGCTGTAGCGCAGGAATCGATACCTCCGCTGAGAGGGACAAAGTATCCCTGTGTACGGGAGCGCCTGAGGTAGTCCCAGAGCCAGCAAGCTGGACCAAGCCTGTAGAGATCATCAGTATTTGGATTTACCTACAAATAATAGGCCTACGCTATCTCTTCCTCTGGAGTATGAAACCTTGCTCCAGCAAGCTTGGCCTGGATACCCAGGGCCATCGCCCCATCTGTATCGCCAAACTTTCCACTTGAAAGTGCAAACGGCACTTCAATTCGATGAAAAGCCTTAGAACGGGCAGCCTGGAGCCCGCGGCTGCGGGATGTGCGATGTGAGCGCACGTCCTCAATATCGATCGTAGCTGTGACGACCTCAACATCGTCCAAGGAGAACTGTGAACCTTGAGAGACGATGTGGCCATTCATGGCGATCATGGCACAACCATCATAATACAGCCGATCGCCGTCGCAGCCTTTTTGATTTGCATAAAGATAGACGCCACCAAGCTGGAAGGCGAGTTAGCTGACAGAGTCCATACTGGGGCACGCCTGTTACCTTGAGTGTCGCTTCCTTTACTAGCTCGACGCGGGTGTAAAGTTTTCGTAACTCATGATGGCTCCCACTGGAATTAGTGAATATTTCGACGCCGTCGAGTCCCATCAAAATATGCGGACTTGGAGTATGCGAGTATGAACGGACGTGCTCGGGTGAGATGAAGACACATACCTTGCTGGCGTAAAGAGCTCTTCACAGAGCTCGACACCTATACAGGTGTCCACCGTGCTTATAATACAGTCTCCAAAAGGGACTTTGACCTGGAAAGGAAGAGTTGTGCGTGACTGAGGTTGAAGGAAAACAATGACAAACCTGCTTTGTGACGGTTTGAATAATCCTTGGGAGGAAATGATCCTCCCATTGTTGATACTTCATCCAAGGAGTAAAGTACCGCATTTCGCGGTAATTGCCATCGTTGGCGAGCCACATCTTAGGGCGAATGAGCAGAATCTGCCTGTCGTGTACAATAACACGACAGTTGTAAATTACATTCTTGTGCACCACGGGCCTGACATAATTTAAATGAGGTCTATAGAATCGGTAAATGACGCTTTACACGTACATTCCAATATCACAGATAATTCCCATGGTATCGTCGCCGGCCAAGATCTTGGCCAGTACCTCCCAGGAATGAAGGATGGTGTCCCCTGTGCTAGGTTATCAGGAGTGCCATGTTTATATGTGTGTGTTTGTACCTTCAAGGAAATGGTCGTAGCAGCCATACCCACTATTGTGGAGGATCTTAGTTACACGCGCTATCACAATGTACGAGTACTGACGGAATTTCCAGCTCTGGTCCAACTCTCAGGGTAGCACCGCGCTCCTTTGCGATCGCGATGCTTTGAATGATACGTTCATAATTTCCCTAATACATATAACCTTAGTTTAATGATACGTGGTGATCTGAAGAACATTACCTGAAAATCTAAGGCCCACTGGTTTAATGAACTTTCCAGCAGTTTAGTGTGTGCTAGTTGGGATCGAGGCCACTACAACGCACCATCTGGAAAGATGTAGGTAAATATGAAGATACGGCAGATATGACAAAGCGCTCACGTAGCCAACGTTATTAGGTGCCCCATGATGGAGGTCTCTAGCTAGCCTGAGATTCGGAGCGTGCGCTCGCATCCAATGGGACTAGCCGGCACCCCCGGGGCCTGCTTCTTCCGTAAGGTAGAACTCATTCAAATCCTCGTATGTTGGCATGTGATTGTGACCTACTGTGACATGTTTCAAGCCGAGGTGCCGGAAGACATGTTACATAAGTACTTGATAAGTAAGTAATGCAGTAAGTGTGACTCGGAGACTCTCTGGTAAGTCAATCCTGTTGCAAAGTTATTATTCACGAGTTGAGAAGTCTTTCTCCGTGTCAGCGCAGCGCGATGGACAGACAATATTGATGGTATACTCACATTCTCAGCCTCGTCAATGTGTCCAGTGAGTTTTTGCTTCTTACTTTGTCGAGCCTTTTCCAGATTGCTGCTCCACACTTTCCGAAGCCGCTTGAGTTTCTGTGGATTTTTGTAGGCCATGCATATCACTACTTAGGGTGTGCCGCGCCGAAGGAAGATCGGCAACTGTTTGTATTTTCTTTGCCACTTCTGCTCTAAGCTGCTCACTACTTTAATTCGAGAACTTATTCATTTTTGCACGTATTTTCAAACGGACAAAGCGGAAAATTCTCTTTTGCATTTCAAGATTTTCCGTGTAGCTAAAATCTCTTTAACTATGCTGTAGTAGACATGGCGGAGCATATTGAAAATGTCACGAATTGTAACACTTTGGTCATGTGACATACGAGGATTTGAATGAGTTGAAGTTCTACCTTACAGCTACCTCATCACGTGATCACGAGGTGCCTGAGGCGGTCCAGACGACTCAGCGTAGGTCCACAACCAAATGAACATGCATCGCGGCATCGGTCTTGCTGCTTTTGACAAAGAACAACTATCACAGCGTTTTGCAGAACTGTCTTCAGAGCTCTCAAAAACTCAGGTCGATAATCTACAATCACAACTAACACAATTCCGAACTGCCCTTTCGCACTTCGCAACGACGCACAGAGATTCAATTCGTAGCGATCCAGCGTTTCGTCATGCATTTCAGCAAATGTGCTCGTCGATTGGCGTGGACCCGCTCGCTGGACCAATGAAGGGTGGCTGGTGGGCAGAAATCCTTGGGATGGGTGATTGGCAGTACGAGCTGGGAGTTCAGATAGTGGACGTGTGCGTAAGCACAAGGGAGAGGAACGGGGGCGTGATAGAAATGGGGGAGCTTGTACGTATGGTCAGCAAGCTGCGTGGCGTCGAAAGTGGCGTCATTACAGAGGAAGATGTTATAAGAAGCATCAAGACACTTCAACCGCTCGGCGCTGGATACGAAGTGCTTGACGTTGGTGATGGAAAGAAGATGGTGAGAAGCGTGGTCAAGGAGCTAGATGCAGATCAGGCAGTAATTCTTGCGGAAGCACAAGTAGAAGGAGGATGGATTGTTGAAGCAATCCTGGAGAACCGTCGAGGATGGACGGGAGAACGTGCTCGAGCTGCTCTGGAGAACATGCTTCTTCGAGACGGCCTTTGTTGGCTGGATTCTCAAGATGAGCACTATGGGCAAGTCTATTGGATTCCGTCTGCCATGCGTTGGGACGAGTAATTCTGTTGCTCACCAAGGTGCGTGATTCGTGTCGCATCGTTATTTTCTCACAGTATTTGATATACAGTTGACGCGTATTATTGACAACTCATGGCGGTTATGTTATGCACGACAACCACTGTGCAAAGAGTGGCGTTTATGAACACGATTACCCTTTCCCGATTTCGGAATACGGGCGCGCCCATACAGCTCTAGAATGCTAACCTGTATAATTTGCAAAAGCTCCAATAATTGCTAGGCTGCATACCGGTTCGACTCTGTAGGCATTCCAGTTGACTATTTTCCCTCCCTAATAATTAACAAACCTAATAGTAGACGTTCCTCTTGGGCTCATTGTGCACTACGGGATCTTCGCCCCCCCCCTACCAGTAGGTATGGTACATTAATTATACCTTTCTGGCCATGCCACGGATGGTTTCTAGTATTCAACTGGTGCACTCAGAATTGGTGAGATAATGACGAATAAGATTACAGAGAAATACTTCAACATACAACGTACCTTTAATGAATCAAATGCGCCCGGTACACAGCTAACCTATCGTATGCTACGGACTCGGCTGACTCCAGTGCACACATCAATGGTGCCGATTCCTTTCTGGTACTTTCCTGAATTATACTGTTATCTGCTCTCAACTATTTGCCTATAGTGTTCACCCAACATCAGTGATTTTATGTCCGCTCAGGGGCCAGCCACCCTTTGCAAGATAGCTTGCAAGATATTCCTACTTGAGTGTGGACGATCACTTAGTCCCCTGCTTCCGTTGATGCGATGAGGCGCTTATGATTCAAGTTGCATCGCCTCTACAACCAACTATAACCTCGTGGTTCTATATTTATACCGATGCCATTATAGCCTCCGTTTTCAAATTAACTGCACCTGCGGAATCACAGCAACACCTGATAGCGGTCCAGAAGGTCGTAAATGTGTCACCCAGCTGAGCTCAGGGGCCATCGTGATTCAATAACCTTGGATGGATTAATGTTCATGTGCCTATACAGGTACTTGATAGCTCCAAGACGTCGCCGCAATGCGGTCCAACGAATCAAATTACAACAATAACATATTGTTGGATTGCAGTATGTTTTTTTAGCTGCGGAGGTATAATTAGATTCGACTCATCAGTTTGGCGGGTGTTCATTCTACACAGTAACAGGTGATCTGGCGCGGGGGGCAACAACTACTCACGCTCTTGAAAATTGCGGTAAGCCAACTTTTTACTCACAGAGCTCATTCAAATCTGACATTACTTACTGGGCAACTACTATGCAACGTGGCTGCGGCACCAAAGATCTCCGCTTATAAACAGATTCATCTCCATACCAGTCTTGAACTCGGCAACTGTCAAATTTATCGCTACAGTGCCTGGGGCAAAGTCTTGAAGATCTGTGGTCGTGGGTATTTTGACAACTCTGCCGAGGCTTGATGTAAATGTAAATGTTCTACTACCGGTATCGCTTGGCTAGTGATTGGATCCTATTGCATTATACAAGGCGGTCCGTCGTGTTCTGCATGCCCAAAATAGGTCTGAAGGCGGTAGGTGTAATTGACATGACAGCCTGGCTGCCTCTCGAACCATCAATGCTTGTTCAGGTGATCCGTTGCAACACCCCTGGCCAAGGACATCCACAAAACGTGCGGAAGGCATGAAAGCGCATTCAGGCACTCCGGTCAGTCGCCAAGTCCCTTTTGGATGGTACCCAGCTTCAGAGCTCGCATCGCTGACGGAGAGTGCCCTTGACAGGTAATCAAATTTTCCATTCTACAAGTCCGTAACGCATTCGAGTTGATCGATGGAAACCTATAGGTGGGAATCTGTTGGGACGTACCAGTACAGGGGATTACTACCTCATAGCTGATTATTTCGATCCACGAATCGGAAGATATGTAGACCAATTCTCTGATCCAGAGGGCGATACCAGGACCACTACTTAAGCTGAAGGATTCAATGTATTTCGCTCATCCTCCTCCTCCTATTGACTCGAGTTTCGAGTCATGTTCCAACTCTATGTACTCATATGCCTTCTGGCATGCCTCCAGGGTCGTGCCGTGACTATTGGCCCAGTTTCTGACCTTGTCATTGCCAATGGCATTGTATCCCCAGACGGGTTCACCAGATCGTCAGTGTTTGTTTAATTTTGACCTATTTGATTACTGAGTCTACTGCAGGGGGGTTCTTGCCGGTGGCACTCATCCCGGGCCCACTATTGTAGCTCAGAAGGTAGCATCTACTTTGCATGCGCAAACTCTTGGTTGACCTCACGTGTATTTAGGGGGATACGTTCAAGATCAACGTCACGAACCAATTGACTAACGATTCGATGTTAACGAGTACCAGTATCGTAAGTACCAGCCAATAAATGCATGTAGGAGCTTACGATGATGTCTGTTGCAAACAGCACTGGCATGGACTATTCCAACACCATAGCAACCAAATGGACGGCGTGTCATTTGTCACGCAATGTCCGATCGCTCCAGGACACTCTTTTTTGTATGACTTCAATGCTAGCGAACAAGTGGGAACGTACTGGTACCATTCTCATTATGGAGTGCGTGCTTCGATTTATTCATAATGTCAGCAGCTGATTTCAATTCAGGTCCAATACTGTGACGGTCTACGAGGACCGCTAATCATCTACAATCCCAACGACCCATATAGTTCATTGTACGATATCGATGACGGTGAGTGCGTTCGACAAAACGAAGTTGCGTTTCTGACATTTGAATGAAGAATCTAGCATCATCACATTGATGGACTGGTAAGAAAAGAAAATGCTGATGTATCTTTTTCTCTCATCGACTCGGCTTGCTTTGTAGGTATAACTTGCCATCACCTCTAGTACAGAGACAAGTAACTGCCGACTCGGTGCTTATCAACGGTGTCGGGCGTTATGATGGAGGGCCAAATGTGCCTTTCGCCGTCATCGACGTTCAGCCAGGAAAGCGATATCGTTTCCGACTGCTGAACATGGCGTGCAAGCCCAACTACATTTTCTCGATCGACAGCCATAATCTTACCATCATCGAAGTCGATGGCCAATACGTCGAGCCGCTCGTAGTGGACTCTATCCAGATCTACGCTGCGCAACGATACTCCTTCATTCTCGAGACAAACCAGCCTGTCGACAATTATTGGGTGCATGCCGATCCCGATGCGGGTACAAATGCCACAGCTATCTTTCGATATGCAGGCGCTCCCGACGCAGACCCCCAGAACATGACAAACTCGGACTGGGATGCTCTGAATGAGACTAGCCTACACCCCCTAACTCCGCCTTCGTCTCGTTTACTGCAGGAACCGGACGTCAAACTTGACCTTGTTCTTGGGAAAAATCTGTCCAATTTCAACTTCCTCATCAATAACGTCCAGTATACTTCTCCTAGTATCCCTGTCCTACTACAATTACTGAGCGGTGCTATGACGGCGGCGGATCTTGCGCCCAACGGCTCCGTATACACTCTGCCACGGAATAAGGTTATCGAACTTACGTTCAATCCCGATAATTCCCCTGGGGGTCCTGTGAGTCCATCTCAAAATGATATGTATGTCCTTGACTGACATGTCTTTACAGCATCCGTTCCATCTTCATGGGGTACGTCTTGCCGTGTCATCTACATAAATTCGATGGACTAATAATAATTTGGTTTGTAGCACAGTTTCGCTGTTATCAGAAGTGCTGGAAGTACCGCTTATAACTACGTCGACCCCGTCATGCGCGATACAGTGACCACTGGCAACACTGGTGATCGTGTGACTATCCGGTTCATCACCGACAACCCTGGGCCTTGGCTGTTGCATTGGTAAGTGTTATGTCCATGTCTTTTTAGCTGGTAATGACTTTTTGTCTTCGTGAAGCCATATCGATTGGCATCTATCCGCGTGAGTTGCTCCTTTCGCTGAGCCTGGACTCGAATTGATCATTGGATTCGTAGGGGACTAGCTATAGTATTCGCAGAGGCTCCTGAAGATGTGGCGGCTTCGCAGCCTTTCAATAGTAAGCACCGAGTACTATGAATTAGACCGGGTCTAACGATCAGCGTTAGATGCTTCGAGGCAGCTCTGTCCCATATACAATAGCATTCCTCAACAGAATTTCCCTCTCCCTCCCGTTGATTGATATTTTTGGTTTATGCCTCCGTTTGTTCCAAAGAACATCAAACAGGACATTTTCAAATACGATTTATGGATTCGTAATAGGTCGGACACGATAGATAGTAGATAGCCCTCATTCTTAATGCAGAAGTGATGTCCGAGCTGTGATCGACAACCATCCGTGCCGTTCGTCCGTATCATCAGCACATAATATGATTTAGCCACAAATACATGCACCCTGTATCTTGTGTTTCCACATGGAGAGAGCTTAATTAAGATGCGTTTCAAGCGCACCGGATAGAGGTACCAGAATAACATCATTTGCTTTTGATCGTCTATACTTGCAACTCTGAAAGGGAACGGCGCAGAGAGGCCGCAAAGGAAAGGGGTCGCGGGTTACTATGTCAAATTGAAGGTGTACACGGCACCTGAGGTGAGTTAACGTTCCTGTATAATGTACATATGCTGCGGTCCTCAGCTGGAGAAGGGTAGTGCTTATCTGATCGGCGAGGCGTAATCACTAAATATAGAAGCGGTCTTATTTAGTACGTGTGGGTGGTTCTGACGGTATGAGCAGTCTGCCACTCGGGGTAGTGGGGTAACATGCAAAAGGAAGACGAAGGCCTGAGCTAGAATGGGCCTGCTGTGTCGGATGGCGTGTTTGATCGTTAAGCATTGCGGCTATTCCTGCTGCGCTGAGAGTGGGAGTCGGCATTGGAATGTGAGTGCAGGAAACCAAAAATATGTTGTGCAACGATCCGTGACGCACAATACGGTACTATAGTCTACGCGTACGACCGGTCCAATTGCAAGTCTCTCGTTATCTCAATCAATGTTTCCTATTTGACACCCATAGATATCCAGTCTTGACGCGCGCGACGTGCTTTTAACATTCTGTTCGTTCTGTTCTACTTCGTGTGTTAAAACTGAGTGTCATTTGAGAGTAGGCCAGGACCACAAGTACTCCCGATAGTGTTGCCGCCGAAGTGAAGTGACTTCGAGGTAACTTCGCTTCGAAAACGTGAGAATTCGGTTGACTTCGTTGTTTCGAAGTCAGTTGAAGTGCACTTCGTCCAATTTCGAGAGAAGTTACTATGCATATAGATTGATTGTTATCATTGCACATCTGAGTAGCTTCTGGCTCCTCTCTGCCTCCCAGTTCTCGTTGCGCAGCTACAATACAGACACTTGCCAAACGAGCGCGAGAACAAAGACACAATTGCAAGACGTGTTGGACGCCGAAAATGTGTTCAAACTACCTCGATGGACCAGTCGCAGCCGAGTCAACAGAACCACCACTCGGATAATATGGACATCACAATGAGTGATGATTTTGACAGTCTGGTATGTCTGTCCAGTGAACACGTCGAACTATGCACTAATAATTATCATGTACCCATACCTCCCGACAATTTTCTACGTTGGCTCAAGCAGACCAAGCGCAGTGGGACAACGGATGAGTCCAATGCCTACTACGGAACATTGACATCAGATCAGCTTGGGGTAAGTCATCTACTCCGAGTTTTGTATGGTATGCGCTGACTAACTCTTATTCAATGCTCGATTTTTAGAAATACAACGAGGAAGCCAAAATTTTGGTATAATGTGTTTACTCGGTTGTCAATGATACTAATCACAAGTTTTTGCAGGCGTCTAATGATGCGTGGAATAAGAATGTCAACGAGGGCCAAATCTACTAGCCTGTCACGGTATCAGCCATCCCAACACTTGTGCTTCCTCAACGTGTCTCGATTCTGCTACCAGCGTCTGCTGCACCTTCGTTGCTGTGTTGTCTGACTATCTTCGATCTCCCCCGCTGTCTGCTCTCGACATGTTCATGTTTTCGATGCGCTCTGCTGTCTACTTCCTTTCTGCTTGGCTCTCAAATGTTCGCAATCCGCTCAGCTGTCTATTTCCTTTCGGCTCGGCTCTCAACGTGTTTTCAAGGTATACTCCACCTGTTTCGCTTCGATTTCCCTGTATTTCCAGCTGTTTTCGTACCAATTGTATTCCACTACCAAGCAATCAAAGCATATTTGATAGCTTTTAAGCACATTCTGGGAGGACAGCGCGAGTCTGCGTGAATATGCCTAGATGTGCACAATGTAAATTATAAAAGAAGCACCTCCGTCTTATAGAAAATATGCTGTCAGTCCGAATATCGAGCGAAATGCGCGAGTATGTGCGCTGTCTCTCAAACGCGCATCTCAACATAAGTATTCCACTGGGTTTGATTACTAATCTATTCTGCAGCTTGCCTGTGACTTCGCGAAGTACTTCGAAGTGTACTTCGAATCACTTCGTTGACAACGAACGCTCCATACTAGCTACTTTTGCAAGTCTCTAACCCGACTGCTACCTCATCACGTGATCAAGAGATCATTCTCGAGTAGGTCCACTTTTGAAAGCAACCAATTGAACATGCATCGCGGCGTCGGTCTTGCTGCTTTTGACAAAGAACAACTATCACAGCGTTTTGCAGAACTGTCTTCAGAGCTCTCAAAAACTCAGGTCGATAATCTACAATCACAACTAACACAATTCCGAACTGCCCTTTCGCACTTCGCAACGACGCACAGAGATTCAATTCGTAGCGATCCAGCGTTTCGTCATGCATTTCAGCAAATGTGCTCGTCGATTGGCGTGGACCCGCTCGCTGGACCAATGAAGGGTGGCTGGTGGGCAGAGATGCTTGGGATGGGTGATTGGCAGTATGAGCTGGGAGTTCAGATAGTGGACGTGTGCGTAAGCACAAGGGAGAGGAACGGGGGCGTGATAGAAATGGGGGAGCTTGTGCGTATGGTCAGCAAGCTGCGTGGCGTCGAGAGTGGTGTCATTACAGAGGAAGATGTTATAAGAAGCATCAAGACACTTCAACCGCTCGGCGCTGGATACGAAGTGCTTGACGTTGGTGGTGGAAAGAAGATGGTGAGAAGCGTGGTCAAGGAGCTAGATGCAGATCAGGCAGTAATTCTTGCGGAAGCACAAGTAGAAGGAGGATGGATTGTTGAAGCAATCCTGGAGAACCGTCGAGGATGGACGAGAGAACGTGCTCGAGCTGCTCTGGAGAACATGCTTCTTCGAGACGGCCTTTGTTGGCTTGATTCTCAAGATGAGCACTATGGGCAAGTCTATTGGATTCCGTCTGCGATGCGTTGGGACGAGTAATTCTGTTGCTCGCCAAGGTGCGTGAGTCGTGTCGCATCTATGTTAATGATACTCAGATTGACCTGAGGACAGGAAATTCAATTGCGATTGAGTCGGATAACCCCTTGATCAGAGGCTCGATCGTCGATATCCGTACTACCGCCTCCTACATTTCCGTCGAAAGGACGCGGAGTATATTCGGCGTAGAAGCATGCACTCGTGACTTTGAATCGTTTCACATGGTGTTGGATGACGTAGACTATCATTGCAACACGCGAAACGAAGACAAGACAGGGAAACATACATATCACGTCCTTCGCAATGATGGACTGGTTGAGAAACTTTCTCGCATAGTGACACTTTCGTTTTTCTGCCATTATCCATGGGTACTGACTCTCCTGTAACCCTGATCATGTGGCGTTGTTCAGAGTATATGGGGTTTGGTGGGCTCTTCTGAGCAGCATGGCTTTCGCATATAGTTTGTTGTCATTTTTTCATTGACAATAGAGTTTCTGATCTGTTGCGCCAGGTATTACGTTCATGTATATCAACCCGGCAACCTTTAACCGAGCGTCCGAGGGCGCGACAGACAGACTTGCACAAATGCTTGTTTCTATCTTGGTGTTGGATTAGCTGCCGTCCACTCCGCATTCTTAATAACCATCGAATTTTACAAAACAGTACAGACTTACAGGAAATCTGGTTATCGTTTGATGAAAGGTATTGTCTGTGTACGGGCGTCAGTGTTAATCTCGCTCCATGTAAAACGGCTAATTAAAATCACAGCTCACGGATGGATTTGATCAATACTTTGTTTGGGTGGGAACGTAGAAGTTGATTGTCCCATATATCGAACATAGGCTCCCAGCATCGAAGTTGCGGGGTCAATTTGGTTGACCTCTTTTGGTGGTTCAAATGCTTCCAAACTCGGGATCTGCACACAAAGCATACTAGCGTGAGCCACTTCAAGTATCTGTAACGGTACACTAATCTCCATTATTCCCCACAAATACCACGCCCTGGGACTTGTCCCTGGATTGTACTTAAGCCAGAGTGACAAATTTGAGTTTTGGTGTACAACAATTATGACCCTCGAAATCGCTGACGAAGAGACACCTCTGCTGCATGCCAATGACTATGTGGAACCCCAACAGAAGCCAGTAATTACAGGCAAGACGCCTCTCCCGTGGAGCCAATTTTCTATCATACTGTCGCTTCAAGTCCTAGAACCAATGACTTCGCAAGTCATCTCGCCATTTGCCCCACAGGTCGGTACTTGCTGTATTGCACTCAAACAATTGATGATGGAAAGGACGTCCAGCTGATACGAAGCATTGGAGTAACCAATGGTGAAGAAGCTCAGTGTTGCAATTTACGTTGGCGTACTGGTACGCAGTTGTCACTACTTGATGGAATAGTTTTCTGATGAATGTTTTATACATATAGCAGTCACTCTTCTTTGCAACTGAGGCATTGACTACTTTTCACTGGAGTCGTCTGTCTGATCGTGTTGGCCGTAAACCAATTTTATTGATTGGTCTCACGGGCATCTCCATTTCCATGTTCTCTTTTGGACTCTCGAGAACTTTTTGGAGTGTCGTCTTGAGGTATGCATTATCTATTGTTAGCAATTAATCCTGTATTGAACGACATAAGCCGTTGTCTGTGTGGTGCGCTCAATGGTAATGTGGTAGTGATGAAGAGCATGATCGCCGATATCACGGACTCCACGAACATGTCTCAGGCGTATGCGTATATTCCTTTTGCTTGGCAAGCTGGCATCGCTCTGGGGTAATCATTTTTTTCTGTCATTCAATTTTTGGTTGACTGAAAGTTTGAATTTGCAGGCCTCTCATCGGTGGACTTCTTGCAAGTCCGACGGTTCAGTATCCGGAACTATTTGGAAGATTTAAACTCCTAAAGACGTATCCTTATTTCCTTCCTTGTGGCGTGATAGGAACACTAGCGCTTGTATGGTGGTGCGTTACGTTCTTTTTTCTCAGCGAGGTTTGTCAATCCCCAAGCACTTGAATTGAAAACTTACCGTGTCCCAGAGCACACAACCTAGCACTAGTTTTGCTCGGATTCTCGGATTGTACAAGGGCGAAAGAAGTACTTTGCGGACCATGCCATCAGATTCTGGCCTTCGATCAAAAACGAAGCCCTTGCCGTTCCGCGATTTGCTAGTGACGCGGGTGGTTATCGCAACCTGCGCTTATGCTGCTACTGCCCTGATTGAAATCTCGTTCCGTGCTGTCCAACCAGTATTTTATGCTACGCCCATTGAAATGGGTGGCCTCGGGCTGGATGCCCCAGCCATTGGCATCATTCTGGCTATGCTTGGTATTCTGAACGGAGTGCTTCAATTGTTATTCTTTGTGCGCTTGCATGACTGACTAGGAGGACGAAATCTGTATATCTTCTCTGTCTTCAGTTGCTTCCCAATGCTTGCGCTGTTTCCGGCCATCAGCTTCGCAGCTAAAGCACAGGGACTGAGCTATTTTGTTTACCTCCTGGTAGGCCTGCAGCTCCTCGCCTTCGTAATCTCATATTCTGCATTTGGTACGCATGACGGTCAGTCAAACTGGGCTGAATATTTACTTTGTGTTCCTTGTACAGGTGTCGTATTCATGTACATCAATGCATCTGCACCCAACCGAGCATCCATTGGCGCAACAAATGGGCTCGCGCAAACTGTGGTGTCTGTCATACGAGCTGTTGGACCGGCGGTGGCGAACTCTGCTTATTCGCTGAGTATCGAGAAGCAACTCCTTGGTGGAAATATGGTGTATTGGTTAATGGCTGGAATGGTTTGTATTGCGATCGGTGTCGGATCTGCCCTCCCAAAGCGCTTGTGGTGCGAGTAGATATATCATCGATGATGTACTACTGGTCTAGTAACATCTTCGTCACAAAAGAATATGTATAGGGGTCCAGTGATCTGCGCTGGTGGTTCCAAGACAACGAGCGATGTAGTCACTGGGATGATCCGGTTGTTCCGCATCTGAGGGCTGAGCTCCCTGTAGTGGCGTATGCGTAGATACGGTCTGACTACACACTGAATATTCAATGACAGGGGTTTGCAGCGTGGGCAATAGGACATGTGTAGTGGCTGTGAGCGAAGGTGCGGCATGCTGGCATCAAAATTGCTACGATCCGCATTGTGTGCTCACTGCTGTGTTCTCAGCGCTCAGCTATCGCAACCGCGACGATGCACTGTCTTTTGGACCTTCCAAGCGAAATCCTATGTCACATATCCAAGAATCTAGAAAATGAAGAGCTTCTAGTGTTCTGCAACGTCTCAAAGCAGCTTCATTTTGCTGCACTCACCGTCTACTTTGATCGGTTCACTGGCGTCAATGCCCCTACGAACGCACCTGCCAGTATCTGCCAACCAACTATAGCTGCACTACGCGGGCTTTTGTTGGCACTCTGGGTGAAGAAATGTGATTCCGTCTGCTGTACTGTCACCAATTATACCCAACTCAAGTTTCTTACGCGTTTCATCGCAAAGTTGGAGCCGTTCCGCAACCTCCACCTACGCTTCGGGCGTGGCATGGAGCCATACTCAAGACATGTCATATTTGGACTTATAGATCTAATGATTGTCATCAAGAAACAGGGATGCGAAGATATGCTCATAACTGGGGGGCACACAGACAGAGCATGGGTTCCAGGAGTAATAGATCTGACCCGTGCTTTGCGCTTGGAAGGCGTAGTCAGTACCGTGGATGTAAGTTTATTGTCTTATCTACTACTTCTATCTACTTATGACCATGCAGACTGTTGCCAGATTTTGCAGGAAAATATTTCGCCGTTACAAACGCGACGAGAATTATTGGATCACAATAACGCCGTCCCTCACTACATTGAAGACAGTCAACCTTTCGACAGACTACTTCTTCGCGCCATTCATGAGCACGTGGACCATCCGGACACTCAATGATTCTTCCATCACTTCGTTAACACTTGACCTTCGCTTTCGCAATGCGCCAAAGTGGACCCATATCCTGTCAATGCTCCGCCTTCGCCACCTTCGGGAATTTGTTATTTCCTCCAATTCATTGTCGCTTCAATGTTTGACGCAGTTTCTGCGCCGTCATAACGGGCTCACCTCACTGACTACGAAAGGCCTCTCCTTGGAGGACAGTGAGACACAGAACAAGTCGGTCCTCAACCTCAATGCCCTCCCTAAACTGAGGACACTCGTGGGATTACCGAATGACATCGGGCACATCCTCCGTCTTCAGCCTAGCTTCAAAGTCCTGAAACATATAGACATCAGTGGTCCTGATGCAGATGGTTACATCACATCTTTGAACGACTGTCTCGACGCGATGGTAGCCAGAGACAAAGTTTACGTGACCTCAATAGCAATCAAGACCGAACACATGTCTTGGCTGCTGTCACAAAGCAGCGCAGATTCAGAGAGGGTGATGCCCCCCATTGCGTCCCTCACGATTATTTGGAAGGGCCAAAATGAAGAGTTGCCCTCGCCTAGTTTCACCGCCGCATTAGCTGGGTGGGTAGCATTGTTCCCGAAGCTGGAACATATCCACTGGGGAGTAAAGCGCGATCTCGAAGGATCGCAAGCTGAAAGAAACATCGCCATTGCTATCATCAACCGTTGCCCTCGTCTCAAGACCTTGGAATTGCTGAGAGATCCTCCTGTCCGTAAGAGGCAACCTCCTCCAGTTGACGTGTGGCTTAGGGACGGTACGTGTCTCCCTCTTGTTAAACTCCCAATCTTACGTATGAACTATGAAGATTCCTTGTCAATTAAACAATTGGCATGGTCTCAGGACACTCAGCATAGTGAGCAAATAGTGTTATTACAATTGAGACTGAACTGAATCAGTTTGTATGCAAGGTGTTGCCTCTTGCTCTTGTCGTGATAAAGCGAAGATAGCCGATAATATCCATGTAGACCAAGTGTGTGCCAGATACTGATCATTAATAGCGCCGTGCGTAACAGCTTAGATAGCGAGTACCGTACATCCTAACCACAAGCTAACCACTTCCTGTTAACCCTGGCGGGAAACCCGAAAAATCTATTTGGTCTTGGACTGCCTGCCCAGCAAGGGTATATGATATACGTAGCCGTAGCCGTATATTGGACTTTTGTATAAAAATCAATCAGAAAATGATTTCAACATGAAGAAAGAAGGGATACATACACCAGGCGGCCCCATCACACGCATTTGTTGAGTTTCCGTAGCACCTGGCTGAACATCGGAATTCGACATGGGAAGCATCTGCAGTTGTTGTGACTGTACAACAGCTCAGTAGGATGTCACCAACTTGTTGGATCTTAATCCTTACCTTGGGAACAGCAGCCTGGAAGTTAAGCCCGGTAGCAGCGTTGGAACCGGAAACTTGGAAGCGGGCCATGATGTTGACGACACCTGGTCGCGCAGCAGAGGTTTGAGGTGTAAGGGTAATCTTGAGCTCCTGCTTATCATAGGCGGTATAAGAGGTCAACCGTGGCGCAGGTGGGTGCTGTTGTTGCGGAGAAGGTCGGGGAGGTGCCTGGCTCTGTGATTGCGGAGAGAAGGTGGTAAAAGCGGATGCGGCAGGGGAAGGAGCAGGAGCAGGCGACGCTGGGGAAGGGGAAGAGTCAAACAAACCGAGAATATCTTGGACACTGCTTTTCTGGGGTTGCGGTGAAACAGAGGGTGTGCGACCGTGCGTCGGAGACGAAGCAGCAGGACTGCTACCGAAGATCTCTGCAAGGAGGTCGTGATTGTTGTGCGTTGCCTGGCCATTGACAACAGGCGTCGGCGGTGCCACCTCATCACCAAGAAGATCGGCGTCCTTCCCACTTTGCGTGGACCCAACGGGTTTATTTTCACTGACTGGGAAAATGTCAGAACATCGTCAAATCAGATTCAAGAGTCTACACACCAACGCCCATTACAGTAGCTTTGAGCTCTGGAGGTGGCATCCGTTCTAGGACACCAATCCTTAGATCGCCCAAGGTGAACAAACTTGCGAATTCAACGGCACGTTGTTGCAGTTCCAACTCTGGGCTAGTGGTGTACTTGGCGAGAACCTCGGCAATTCGCTGTTGTTGTGGCAAACTTGTCGTCGGTCTGGAGGCCAACTTGGTGATACTTGCCATGAGGAATTGACGAGTAAGGGAGTTTGCGTAGGGCGAGTCGAGGGTGGTAAGTAGGAGATCCAAAAGATCCTTGTCGGTAATCTAAAAGAAGCAAGTCGTAAATTCTCAATTCCAGGCACAGAGTTTATGACTGACCTGTTTGGGCTGATCCTCGTCCACGACGCCGCCATCGAAGAGCACATCACCATATTCACCGATTACCCACAAAGCAGCCAATGTTAGTGACTCTTGTGAGATGTCATCCTGGAGGGCAGTATAGAGCTTAGACGATGTGTATGCTTGAAGCTCCGGGGTATGAGCGACAAGACGGATGAAAGCAGATAGGATCTCCTCGCGGACAAAGTTTCCGGCCTAACATGAACTTGAGTGAATAGATACCTTTGACATTGAGAACCCACTCACCAATTTGAGCACCCTAAGTACAGTGTCGATGTGCCACCGTTTGTTTGGAGCGAATCGCTCTGCGGCGAGTGATATCTGCGTTGTCATGCCAAGCTTGAACTCGTCGTCCGCAACCTCAAGGAAAGCAAGCAGTTCGCGAATGAGGATCCGCACGTTCTGCTCATTGATGAGCGCATATGACAATTCGAGAGCACGCCGCCGAATGGATATATCGCCATCCCGCAGGCAGTCTAGAATGATATTTCTGTGTCGCTGAACCGCATTGGTGTCCATTCCGACCACTTTATTCAAAGTGTTCAAGGCGACATAACTGAGCGAAGTAAGCGAGTATACTTTCAGAACGTAATTTTAACCGACCGAATGTTATTGTCACGGTTACCCAAGAACTTGCCAAGAATATTAATAGCCATGACGCGCAGACCAGAATCCGCTTCGATCTCAAGGATCGTCAGGACAGTTTCATATAATATCGAATTGCCGACGTTCTTGGTCGAATCAGTGTTAGTTGCAACCTGCGCCAAGATATCATTCATGGTCTCGCTAGCACGTGCATCGCCTTTGCCAAGTAAACGAAGCAATCGCAAGACTTTGACCTGCAAGAATGGATCTGTGATACCAGAGACATCGTGCTCGGGGCTGTATCCAGTGGTGACCAAGGCTTTCAAGTTACGAACAAGTAGCGGCACAGCCTGCGAGCACGTGAATAATCAATGATAACAAGGTTGCTAGCACGAGCGAAAGCGCTTACATTTCGGAATTCGTTCAGACAATTCTCGTCGATCTGACACATTTCGGTTGTAAGGGTTATGGCTGTAAGTAGCACGCCGTGGTTTCGATCAGTGAGAAGATTCTTGGCTTTCGAGATAAAGTGATCGGCAAGGTCAGGAACCTTCTTGATGACGCGAAGAGCACATAGAGCAGCCTGAAGTACATTCGAGTCTTGAACGCGATGTGGATAGAGAGTGTGCGCACCTTTTTGCGAATATAAGTGTTACTTGAGCCCAAAAGCTTCCCTATCTCATTTGCCAAATCTCGCGACATTTCCTCCGAAGCTATGTTTGCGAATGTGCAGAGTCCTAAACCAACGACATACATATTTGAGTGGTTCATGTCACTGCAAGAGTAAATTCAAAAACTAGCAGATCATAACATATGACACATACTTCTTCAACGAGTTGGTGACGAGGGTCAGGACTTCTTGATTCTCGTCCAAAAGTAACATGATACCCAAATATCCGAGGCGTTTATCCGTGAATCGGGGGCTCGCGACCAGTTTCAGACATTCTATCTGACCGAAATGGGCGGGCGACCCCAGCATGTGGATGTATAGTAGTTTTGCAATATTGTTGTGTCGCGCATACACATCTTCCTCTCTGAACGAGGCCCGGATGGCGGCTGATTCCTGCTGGATGAGGGCCCGCTCGTCTGCAACGGTCTGCAAGGGTTTAAGGTGACTTCAAGACCGTGAATTTGAAAGATCTACCTTGCAGGCCCTTATTCCTTTGATCAGGGCTGTCTGGATGCTTCAGTCAAAAGTTCCAAGCCATGCTTCAGAACCACTCACCCTTGAGATTATGGTACACCATGGCTGCGCGTTCAAAGCGAAGTCAGACTCATCAATATTGGACATGTGGCGTGACTTTGTGACTGTGACGTGACTCCACAGGACAATTGCTTCGAAAACGCCATTTCAACTTTCTTTGACATAAGATTCAAATATCAGCGCTTCGGCAGTACTGCTCTAAGCTAGCTATGTATCTTTTAAGTCGTAATGTGGGATCACTACTCGATTCTATTCGCGACTCGGTTCATTCTGGACAGCTTGGAAAGTGCATCACAAACCAACATACGTCGGATAAGTGGTGATGACCTCTTGGACATACACACTAACCCGACGCACCTTGTTTGCGTCCAGCATACCTTAGTATATATCTGCGAAATCACAGCTATGTGAGCTCCAGAAATAAAGTATGAATAGTCACCAGGTACATGCATGGAGAGCTTGAAGATTTGACCAGAGTGGTTTCATTAAAAAAATCAGGTTTTCGATGAAGCACTCAGACAAAGGAAAACGTACAACAACAACCGTGGATCTCTCTCGAGTGTTGAACCTGAGTTCAGCAAGCGAGGCTGGGAGTGAACTTGCCACCTTAGCTGCCTGGTACAAATGTAACAAATGAGTTGAACGACAGGAACTTGATGGAAGGAAAGTCAAACCATATTCTGATCATTGCTGAAAGCGCTCCTTACTTTGATGAGAATCGATCGTCGGTCGAAGCCAGCCCGTGACCTCAGTGGGTTTCGATGGTGAAACATCCTTTGGTCAAGTTGCATGACGCTATGTTCCAGTCTGAATTGAATTCGGAAGGCGTAGCTGGTGAAAGAGACAGCCATGTGCCAACGATATGGACGACTTCAAGCCGACCGGCGACGCCAGAATTCGGTTCGATGAATAGATAGTCATTTACCACATGAATAAACTTGGTGATAGATGAATACGTAGGCCGGGTTTCTTGGAAACATCAGATGAACGAGATCGTCAAAAGAGTGTCTCGAAAAGTGGAGATCGACTAGGAGATCGACACAGACTAGTCCGTAGCCTAGACAGCAGAATCGGATAGGTGCTATCGAAGAAATGACGGACGAAGAACAGTCGCAGGGCACATTGAAGAGTGAGGCGCTACTCTCGCCAATCTCGCGAGAGCAAGTCCAGGTCGTCCACGCAAGTCGCATCCTGAGTATTGATTACCTCGTACCAAGTTCGTAGAATAGAGTAATTCCATCGAACACCACAGAGGGAGTGTCACAGTATTGGTGCTCAGAACAGAAATCGTAATTGAAACATCCAAATTCCGTGTCCATTGGAAATCGCGCCTCGTAGAATAGAGATGAGTCAATGACCACAAAGCTGCCCATCAGAGGAGGAATGCTCAGACAAATTAAATTGCAGTCTTCGGTCGTGTGATATCGGGAAAAGTCGGACGGAAAGGACGATAAAGAGCATATCGTGTGATGGTGCCAATCCAGAATCCAGGTAATAGCATCGTTAGAAGGATCGTTGGACAAAAGCAAGTGCATCGGGTTCGGTCCATAGTAAACTGTCGGCCGAGTGAGTACTATCCAAAGCCAAAGCGATACTTGAGAAGAGGACAAGATAGAAAGAAATGCCGGGATCGTCAAAATAGGGTCCCGACAAACGGAGTTCGACTATGAGATCGACATGCATAGGTTTTGCGGGATAGTCCAGTGGATATAGAGCGAGATGATCCTCGTAGTCCAAGTCGCATGGTCAAGACTTGTTAGATCGCACCAAGTTCATTAATGTTTGGTTTCGTCCTATCGAGTACGACAAAAGTATATGAAGTTGGAGCAAGTGGCAATAGAGAGAAAAGAGGGTGTGTCAAATGGTGGCCAAACGACGGCCCTATATATGTGACCTTCAACCGTGTTCAACGGCAATTGTGAGACATCCGAATTCGTGATGCAATCTATGATGTAGAATGAGGTCATTTCAATATTGACCGGTTGACTCACTCGTGAGACGCATTCTATGAGGAATGAGGCCTGAGGACGAGCTCACTCGCTCGAGTACATATATGAGGTTGACCCAAAACATGACAAATGCATTGTCTCAGACGACGTCAGACGGGTCGGAGCGGGTAATATTTTAATGAGCGCTGAGCGGCCCTGACTCAGCTTCACTCCGCGTACGGCGCAGCTGCGGTGCACTAGCTAGTGTATTCATTGTCACGAAATATAGACTCAATCTAATGACCAGTCCCTAGCCATTGACTGCCACTCGTACTTAGCTCTCGAGGGGACAGTGACGTGGATCTTTCAAGGGCCCATCACACGCTTTAACAGTGAGGGAAATGGATAGTCATTATAATGATATTGTAGAAAACAGTCGTGTTTCGTTATCTGCCTGTTCCCCCTTCCTTGCTTATGCACAGGATGGCCACGGCTGACCGAGGAGTGACAACTCCACATTGACGATATCAGTTCGACTGTAAAGCATCTTGATCAGTACTGTTAACGATCTTTCAAGTAATCAAACATACGAAAAATTTCTGATGAATCTGTGCCCCAGCAATCTCAATCGATTCGATTTCCTCAGCCGTCAACCGCGGAACGTTGGCTGTATCGAGATACTCTCTCATCCTATCCGCCTTGCTCGAAGTACTGATAGATGTTAAGTAAGCCAATGGCAGCACACCTAAACAAATGATACTTACGTCACGACCAAAATGCCATACTGCTCCAACCACTTGTTGAGCACATGTCCAGCTGACACGGGCTTTCCTCGAGTAGACTCAAGACGTGCCCGGATTTTCTCAATTACGGGATCCAAGGGTCCTCCTGGTGCGCGGAAGAGTGGTGAAAGGCCACCGAAAGAGGACGTAACGATGTTGTGTTGTTTATGGAGCGCGATCACAGGTTGTAAGGACTTCCACACATACGGGTGAATCTCAACCTTTTAGGGGCAGTGTCAAAAATAATACTAACACTGATGTGATTTGGCTCACCTGGTTGACCGAAGGCGGGAACTCAGCGCCCTCTAAGATCTCTTCTAAGTGCTCAACTTCGAAGTTCGACACTCCAATAGACTTCGATAGTCCTTCCCTCTTGCAGTCCTCCATCGACTTCCACACCTCCTTTAATCGGCCCTCATGGTCACCGGGCACGTGCACGAGGTACAGATCCACGTACTCTACACCCAACTTCTTCAGTGATACTTGCAATGCGCTCTTGGCAGTCTGGTCAGGCTGCAGACGATGGAGCTTAGTGGTGATGAAGAGCGCAGAGCGCGGCATGCCAGACGCCTTGATGCCGGCGCCCAAGCTTTCTTCATTCTCGTACATCTGGGCACCATCGAGGTGCGTGAAACCGTTGGCAATGGCAGTCTTGACAGTGTTCTGTGCATCTTGCTGGAACAGGGCCGTGCCGGTGCCAAATGCGATCCAGGGGACTTGATTGCCGTCGTTAAGGGTGAGTGTGGAAATCGACATGTTGTCTGGGTGAATCGAAGGTAAAGTCAACGAGGAGATCTTGGAGGTGATAGCACTTATACCTTCAGAGGGGCGCCGTATTATCTACACATGATCTAGACTCCACATGCTAGCTTGACTGAAGGGTCACCAGGCCACATATCTCCTATCCGATGCTTTGATTACCAAGGAGCGGACTGCCGCCATGTCAGCCTGATACACATAACTATCTTTATACTTGCAATAAGATATATATTTCCGCGATTTGCCTTGGACTGATAAGAAGGCTGCGAGAGAGATAATAAGATAATACGCAGGAAGAGACCACGGTAGGGCTACTGTTTGGCTGGTCGGTATTGGACACTTCTTCGGTGACCGACGGTGTATAATAGGTGAGAAGAGAGATGTCATTCGTGTAGCACGTCTACTTGTCAGTTGGGTCACAACTCGAGAACCAGTCCATATCGAACGCCAAAAGATATGGAAACAAATAGTTGACAGGATCGGTACAGCATAAGCATCTTGTAGAAGGAAACAAGGTCCAACGATTCCATTGATAGCAATCGGTCGGCCAGGTGATCCAAAGCTATACTCGGAAAAGGGCGGAACAAAATTGGAGCTCTAAGCTTTAAGGGTACCGCGGAGGGTCTTCAAATTCAAAGGTGATCGAATTCCATGGGGCTAAGAATCCAACTCCGGTCACAAGTCTAGACCCAATTGCAAGGAATGAAATTCGTCACGATTTTTTCGGAAAAAATTACTAGCTGAGCGCATCAGCGACGGAATTCAACATGATTCAATGTGATTCCTAACAGAACGTCGCCTTTGAACGTTTGAACTTCCAAGTACATGTAGGGAAGACGTGAAATGCAAATTGAAACATTGCGAGTGTCTATTGGAAATTGCACTGATCGCCGAAGAGATACCATCATTTTCGCATCCGAGAGGAATGTTCGGATCAAATTTGTAAGATGAAATGTTCAACCGAGTAATATCCATAGAATGACTTGGATGCTAAGGACAAATCCATCATCAACATTGAAACAGATATGACAAAGGCATACGAGGAGACATGTTCGGAAGCTAGAATGAGTTCAAGATAAACGGTAACCTGCTCGCCAAGTGAGTGTCCAAAGCGATACTTGAGGGGCAGAACGATCGAAGTCGGAAGGGACCGCAAGAGGCTTTGGAAGTGGTCGGTGTGCACTGTTCATCGTGGCACTGGGAAACAAGATCGTCAAAAGGGATCCACGTGTTTGTTAGGCGAGAGAATCCAATCAATTCCAAGTATTATGAGGGATCCAAGACGTCGTGAATGCCCACAGGAATGAGACAGACCTCACGCTCAAATTCCAGTAAAATCTAAAGCGTGTCAAAGCGAAAAGTCAGTGTGAACCATCTCTGCAGCGTGGACCTCTGAGCCGTAAGTGTGAGACATCCGAATTCCACTTGTGTGATTCCTGCAAGTCATTTCAGTGTCGGCTGGGGCACTCTGCAAGGGATCAAGCTTAGCTTAAGCTTGAGTAAAGCTCACAGAAGACTATAGTAAGTTCACGGTTAACATTGGTCCAGACCCTGCAGAAGAATCTAATTGTGTGCAAGCTGAGATCGCGTGAGTGGATGATGAAAAATGCACAAGAGCGTTGATTTGAAACTCCGCCCTTGGTAACTGTTAATCACTTTCACTCCTCCTATAGTCTTGCCTGGCCATATCTTTTGTATTTTTTTTTCTAAACCGCCATGGCGGATGTTGAACAACCTGCGAAACCTGTTTCACCCATATCCAACCTGTTACAGAAAATTGGCTTGACCCGCGACGACTTGAGCCGTCATAGCGACCAAATGCGCCAATTTTTGACTACTCAAGACGCGAAGTCTCTTCGCGTTTTTTCTGCAGAATCTGCAGATGCACAACAGAGTATTGCTTCTGTACTTGGCAAATCTCGCTCCTGCTCCCATTCCAGCTCAAATTCACGTCAAAACGCGTCTGCTGCCTCTCAAACTCCTCCTCCTCCTTCCACGCCTGTCAAATCTGAGCCCGTAGAGCCCGCTATCCCGCTCCGTCATATGGACAGCATGGAAATGATCCTCGAGAGAAGGAGCCGAAAAATAAAGCGTGATAAGCGAGGAAAGAAGGACAAGGACCGCAATGCACCTTCTCCATCCCCTGCAAGCACAGCTTTCAGCCTTGACGCGTTCATGCAATCACGCGATTTACGACGCGTCCCATCTTTGGATCAATCTGATTCATCTACCAACATAGCTTCATTGGTGTGTACTATCTAAATAGTGCGCCACTTTCGATGTTGCTGTCACTTACGTACACTGCTGCATTCAAGGACAACATCGAGGATGAACTCCCTCCTCCCGTCACTCCTCAGCACCACAAGTATTATAGAGACTATGATACCATAGAGCATCCATCACGTCTCAAAAGGGTATGTTCAAATTCCAATTTTTGACAATTACAATGAGTACAAATTTGTTTCAAGGGTTCTTACACCCCCCGAGACCAGTCACCAACTCCCACGCGTCACCGTTCTTGTTCAAGCTTTGATCAACTACATACATCAAGTGTTGCAGACACTTCCAATGCGAACTTTATCACCCCCCGCCGCAACGCCTATTACAAGTCCCCTCTACCTTCCTCCTCCCCACCTCAATCTTCTCCCTTCGCGACGCCCTCTAAACCTATTGTCAACCTTGTGTCATCGCCTGGTCCCATGGGTCCCCTCCCAGACGAAGATGATTACGAAAATCTTCCATATACCCTTCCCCCCGGTCCATATTCTACGAGAAAGCCAGATCTCTCCTATGCGGCTCTTATCGGCCAAGCAATACTTTCTTCGCCAGAGCATCGGCTCACCCTACAGGAACTTTATGATTGGATTACGATCGTGTACCCGTATTACAACCGAAGCGAAATGACGTGGATGAACTCTATTCGTCATGTCCTCAGCACAACAGTGTGCTTCCGTAAGGTTCCCCGTGATCGCAGTATTGGGCGCACACTCTGGGCAATTTGGGACTGCGATCTTGAGTGTTTCGCTGATGGCGGTTTCAGGAAAGAGTTTTGCGCGGAAATTAAGGAGGCCAACAAGAAGACTGCTCCGAAGAAGCGCGCAGCGGAAGAATCAGCGCCTGGTCGCAAAACGAAACGACAGAAGAAAAGCGCTGCACCTGCACCTGCAGAACCGCGGACAAGCTCGCCTGTACGAGAAACGTCACCTGCATTTGCAAGTTCCGCTCTGCCAACCCTTGTATCGTACTCGCAACTCCTCCCTCTTTTTCCTCCTCATAGTTCTGCGCATCATCAACCTTACTACCAAAACTGTGTACAGCTGCCTGCCGATGTCATTTTTCCTCCCTTGCCACCATCATCGAGTTATGCTCGCGCTAGTTCATCGTCATTGCTTCCTTCATCTGGAGTCAATAGCTCTGATGCGGCGCAGACGTCGCCGATTCCTCCTTCCTCACTACCCGCCCTCACGCCGAGTAAAAGTTCTTCTAGTCCCCAGTTGTCCTCTGAGGACCACCTCTTTTTTAACCTCGATGGCGGTATGAGCCCTCGTATCGAGTCAACCCCTCCGCTAGAGTCTGGAATTACTCTACTAGATACTGATAGACGCAACTCGAAGGCAAGGTTACCGCCTCCCAAAACGCCTCCGAAGGTACGCACATTCCTCTTGTCTGTGTTTTGCTTAATTATCGACTGCGTTTGTGCAGAAATCCGTTGGATTACCTCCCGTGCCGGTATCTCCTACTCTCGACCGCCGTGGAAAATCCAAGAAAGCCAAGCCGCTTGCTAAAGATTGTCTTCCGCCCATGTTACCAACATCTACATCACACCGACCTATAACACCCCCTCCCCGTCCTTCAACGCCTCCTCGCAGGGGTGGCAGTAGTACTGTACAACTCTCACCTATTCGCACGCCCTTATCTCATAAAGGCCTCCACATGAGTCCCTCCGCAAGCCTCGCACATTATAAATTCAATCTGGACCCACCCCCCTCTGCCACCTTCCGCCCGGATGATGGGATTAACCCTGCTGTATTTGATACCGAGAATATCCGCACACCGTCGCGCAAGCGCGGCACGCATGGACATGGACATCATCATAAAGATACCTCGATCTTGTTCCCGCCTGTGACGCCCAAGAAGCTGGTCTTTCCTACGCACAGTTCCTCTGCAGAGTCGCCTTTCCGCACACCTGGATCAAAGTCTATATTTGATCCACATGATCCAGGGGCGATCCTCGATGAGGAGCTGGCGCGACTTGGGGCGAAAGGGATGCATGAGAGCCCGATTGGATTATTTGAAGGACGACGCGGTCTGTTGTACGAGAGCCCGAATATGCCGAGTCCGGGGAAATGGGCTCGGTGGTTCTGAGATGTGTTATGTTGTTTGATTTCGTTCTGTGAGCTCGATCTTGTTTTCATGATTACGAGTGTACTGTGTCTGGACGATTTGATGTCGTTTCATTCTACTTGTGTATCTTATCGTTTCACTTTGGCAACTTGCTGTTAGGTTATTAGGTTCTTGTCATTATTGTTGTGTTATTTGTTGTCTCTCTGCTCAAGTACCTTGCGAAGAGTTGCCCATCTGTTGCCAGCTAGTAGAATACATATGACGAACAGAAAATGAGTGTACCATATGAAACTGGGGTACAAACTCACCCTCACTTTTGCATCCGTGGTCAGGCACGCGGAAGTAATACATATCTTCCAGTCCCGAGGATCGAGGCCCAAGGCAGCGAGACTATTTTTCCAAAAACTGGTACTCACCGCAGTTTGATATATCATATATGCAGCACACTATAGTGTGATCAGTCGTCAAGGTGGGTTCTGCCTCCCGACGCTCTATTAATAGGGAAACCTACTATGCCTTTTGTTGTTGGTTCCGCCTGCCATGCATTACTTCATCGGGGTTTGACTCGGAAGCGGCATGACACAGCCACTGCTTAATGGTCGAGATGACTCCCACCGTGACGTCCACGCTAGTGCTAGGAGAAAGTCTGTCTGCAAGGTTCGGTTCAAAACCACATCGTTCAAGACAAACTCGACTGTCTGTCGCAATCTTCAATTATAGTAACCACCATAGCCTGGCAGCCCCGTGAACGGGCTCTCCATTTGATAACACATGCATGGCTGATGTGATAGATCCCTTATGGTGTCTTCAGCCCCACTTTCACCATTCTATGATGATATTATTGTGAATGTACTACAACCATCAAAGCTTGCCGCATCTAGCCGTCTCCCTATTTGCCGAGACATTCACAGTCGGCAATTGCCAAGGTTCAGACACTAGTGCATCCCCTAATCCTAGTTAAACAGCGAAGCTGTTCCTGTCTGGAGGTATTGCCTCCATCTTCGAAGAACAATCTCCGCTTTGGATACCGCCCACCGTGGTGTTTGATCTCAAATGATGTTACTAACCTCTTTTGCAAGGAAGGCGCACACCGACTTGGTGTCTGTTGCATTCCTATGCAATACTAATAGTGAAGTATTGAAATCCGACGGTTTCCGACCACTTTTCTCCACTGTTCCATCTTCAGGTTTGTGCCGAAAATTGCAGTTATTTTCGGCTGAGAGCTAATTTGGTCCACATTATTGATTCTACCAGTGCTAGTGTGCACATTCTTGCGACGCCACACGAGGGGTGAGCGCTTGAGCGTTGACGGTGAGCATCTCATGTTTGCAATAAGCTGTTATCTGACTAGCGTCACTGATACGCCATACAGCAAATTCTTGATCGTTACTGAATGAAAATGAAGGCACGAAGGCACATACGTGGTCCAGGATGATGGATCCCGTCTGATCACTGCCTGATCCCGTACACGTTTCCTTCCATCGCACAACGACGTAATTGGTTAGACAGCACAAAACCTCTGCGATGACATTATGACTTTTATCCAAGCTGTCTAACACAGATTCTCTTTTGATTAATTCCAATCCACAAATACGTTAGCGCTCAGCTCCCTTTCAGGGTGCGACCGCCTTCCCTTTCAGACAACTCTAATCCAAGTTTCTCGCAGCACATGCTTGACTACCACTAGCCATCTGTATTCTTTTCTATGCTTGAAGAGTTGAACTGACGTGGCAACCTAACATTGGCACTGCTGTGGGACATCTGCACTGTCCTGGTCGTCTGACTTGCTTTATGTTGTCCGAGTCATGGTTTTAAGACGCAACTGTGGTACGCCACCATTCTTCAATTAGTGGACAAGTGCTAACTTCAAAGGCAATACGCTGTTGAAATTCAGATGTCCGTCGGATTGCTGAGCAACTGTTTATGGGGTGATCACACGCCGGTCGGCATCAGTCGAGGTACAGCTGCTTTGGACTAGAATACCCTCGGGGCTGCCGCTGCAAGATAAAAGCTGAGAGGGATATGTGTCTTTCATCGCCATCTTATCCTGCATCCCACTACTCTTGCGGGTGCGAGCACTACGGCCTATCGTAAATAATCACGATGCTTACTCCTATCCTAATCGCTTCTCTCGTTTCATTAATTAATGCTGCATCTATAGTGTCTCGCTCACAGTCCTACTCTCAGCCCGCTGTACTCGGCCCCCAAACTACATTAACCATAGCTAATAAAGTCATCGCTCCTGATGGCTTCGAACGCTCGTGAGTCTATTGCCACGACACTCCTTGAGCTCACTCCTGATCTTCAACAGAGCAACTCTCGTCAATGGCATATTCCCTGGACCCTTGATTGCGGCACAGAAGGTGAGCCTCCGTCGACCTCCTTGTTGTACACAGTGCTGATCTCACAGTAGGGAGATAACTTTTCCATTCAGGTAGTCAACGAGCTCACAGACGAGTCGATGTTCTTGAGCACCAGTGTCGTAAGCAGTGCCAATCACCCGCGCTTTTATTAATTAACCATGTTTACCGCCCGCAGCACTGGCACGGTATCTTCCAGAATGGGACAAATTATGCTGACGGGACGTCCTTCGTCACACAATGTCCCATTGCACAAAACCACTCTTTTGTACACAATTTCTCTTCTCCGAACCAAGCGGGCACCTACTGGTATCATAGCCATTATTCCGTCCAATATGTAAGTGGCTCTTGCATCTTGCGCATGCAGTGGAGGACTGACCTCTGGAATAGTGCGATGGCCTGAGGGGAGCCCTAGTAATTTATGATCCTGATGACCCTTTGGCATACATGTATGATGTCGACGATGGTAAGAGAATAATCTGTTCATCTTAACCCTCTGACCATTATGTGTTATCAGCAAGTACCGTAATTACACTTTCCGATTGGTAGGTTTTAAGTACACTGGTAACCTGCCCCACTAAAGCAATGTCACTAGGTATCACGCTGTGGCCCCCGTCATGCGCCACCTTGTAGACGCCGATGCCAACTCCACACTTATCAACGGACTGGGTCGCTATGCAGGCGGACCCGCGTCTGAGTTGGCTGTGATCAACGTCGAACAGGGAAAGCGATATCGCATGCGGCTGGTTGCAATGTCCTGCGACCCTAATTTCAACTTTACCATCGATGGCCACATCTTCACCGTCATCGAAGCGGATGGACAGCTAACCGAACCACTAGTGGTAGACCAGCTCCAGATTTTTGCGGGTCAACGCTACTCTGTGGTTCTGGTAGCCGATCAGCCGGTGGATAATTACTGGATACGCAGTCTTCCTAATTTGGTGAATCCATCCTTCGAGGGAGGACAGAACTCTGCTATATTGCGCTACCAAGGCGCTCCACAGGTCGACCCGACCACGGCTTATGTGCCACCCCAGGACATATTGGTAGAGACCAACTTGCATGCTCTTATCAATCCCGGTGCTCCTGGCATTCCAGGATATGGGAACGCAGATATCAACCTCCACTTCAAGGTTACCAATGACACCGGATTATTCTATATCAATAATGTCACATTCAGCCCCCCCAGCATTCCTGTTCTACTCCAAATTCTCAGTGGAGCTCAAGATCCGTTCCAGCTGCTCCCAAACGGGAGTGTATACGCTCTAGGACACAACAAAGTAGTGGAGCTGACAATGGAAATACCAGTAGTACCCAATGTTCCAGGTGGACCCGTACGTCTTTTCCTTTCCTTTGATGCTTATGTATCTGATTTATATTGTACCAGCATCCCATACACCTTCATGGGGTAAGTTCACCGCGCCTTCGATGACATGTTGGATCGGTACTGATGATGGTCATTAGCACGCGTTCGATGTTGTACAGAGCGCAGGCAACAGCACCTTCAATTATGTTAACCCAGTTCGCCGCGATGTAGTAAGCGCAGGCAACCCTGGGCAACAAATGGTGATACGATGGACGACCGACAACTATGGCCCGTGGTTCTTGCATTGGTATGTTATTTTTCTTGAGCTGTCAAGAATGGTACTAACTCTGGACCAAAAGCCACATTGATTGGCACCTTGATGCGTATGTCTGTGAACATCCTCGTGAAAGAAATGACTGATTCTTTGTATATAGCGGGTTTGCCGTGGTAATGGCGGAAAGTCCCTTAGACACCGCTGCACATCTAAACCCCGTTCCAAGTAGGTCATACTTGAGGAGACTCTATTTTCATGGCTGAACTGCTTTACAGAGGAATGGGATCAGCTGTGCCCGACCTTTTACTCCTTAACACCCACGCAGTTGGGGGGTGAGGGTCGCCTCTCCTGGGAAGAAGCAGCTAGTATTACCACTCTCCTCTTCCCAGAAACACCTCTCCCCGGGCATAAATAGATAATCGATTTCGTTTATTTGGGGGCAGCTCAGGTTCGCGTTATAGTAACGCATCAAACAGGGGCGACTGTAGTGGCAGACCTGTGCATCACCAACGCATTTTTTTGACTGTGGGAACTTCTTCACTACACCCAAAACATAGCTATTTCCAACATTTCTCACACTGCCCCCAACACATACTATAGAGAAGTATTAGTGTAGGTAATTAATATTTACACATAATAGAGGTCGCCGTAAAACCCTCTTTATTTGTTTTTGTTCTAATACAAGCTCTACATAGAAACCTGTATATATAATACAGGATCAGAAACACATTTGTATCTTCCCCCTTCCATGATGAAATGTCTTAGCATGTCATTTATGTGTTTGAGCTTATATATTTACAAGCGATGACATTCAGTCATCGGGTTTTATGCTGTACAGCTGTATTAGCTCCAAAAGTAAAAACGGCGACCGCTAAGTCACTGTCAGGGAGAGCAATGTAGCCGTCGTAATCTTAAGAAGAAAGGGAGAACGGTTTCGGGAACGCTCGGGCGCTCGCGTGGTTTGCGCTTACGCCGCGTAGATACGCTTAAGGCCACATGGTTTCGCTTACCTCGCTTAAACCTGTTTTTGGAAACTCGCGTGGCTTTGTCACGAGCTTTCGAGCGCCGACTCGATTGCCGCTGCAGCGCACTACTCAACACCCTATTGTAATTGTTTATGGTACATACATACAGTAAATAATAAAAATGAAAATGGAACAACATATGATACAGACAGGGGGACAATGAATATATGTAGTGACAGGAAATGAATGACAAAAGGTTGTGAAAAAATAAATAATAAGGAAACAAAGACAATGTAGACTCAAAAACTGGAGAACAGGGAGACAGAAAATTGGGAATGGGAAACAGGGAGAATGGGAGATGGGAGAATGGGAGAGACTCAAAAACTGGAGAACGGGAGATGGGAGGACAGGAGACGGGAGACGGGAGACGGGAGACGGGAGACGGGAGACGAGAGACGGGAGACGGGAGACGGGAGATGGGAGACGGGAGACGGGAGACGGGAGACAGGAGACAGGAGACGGGAGGATGTAAAAGACAATTGGGAGATGGGTAGGTGTCGGAAAAAAGTTAGGTACCATTGTAATACTGCCGGATTACAAGTTCAGCTCAGCACCTTAAGAGGGCCTTACAAGGCATTTTAATGGGCCATTCTGAGGCACAGCGAGGCAAAACTCAACATAAGGTCATCAAAAGGGCCCTTATAAGTGCCTTTTAATGGGCATTAAAATATTATCTTACCCGTTTAAAAGCCCTTATAAGGACACCCTCCAAATAGAGCATTATAAAATGTCTTGCAAGGCCTTAAAACCCTGGGAACTTTTTTCCGACAGGCAAAGATGGGAAAATAAATACATTCAATGATACTGTTATATATTTTGTAATTTTGTCAGAACCCTGCTCAAAGAATGTAGAACTGACTGATCTTACTATGTACTATGTACTATGTACTTTATGTGGTGGTAGATTGTGTTTTTAGTTTTTTTGAACTGCTCATAAATGTATTTTCAAAATTATTCAAAATGCACAATTTATTAGGATGCAGCCTGAGGCCAGGAAGCCAAAGGAGGGCGTAGCCCTCCTTGGCTTCCTGTGACGAAGGAACAACACTCATTTTCCTCCCCTGAAGGAGCGCGTAGTGCTCCTTCGATTTGTGCCGAAGGCACAACGGGCGTGAGCTTGTTGATATCTAGAATGCCAACCAATCCAAGACCTGAGACAGGTGCGTCAGTGCTGCACAGCATGACGGGGTGGACACAATTGACACAGCCGGCGCCTATTCGTGCTTATATATATGTTAGCACACAAAAAATAAAAAAATCGGTTTTATGTAACTATATATATGGACTTGAACATATGAACCACAGAAACCTTTATAAATAGTATATACCACATACGAGCAGAATAGGATCACAGGTCCAGTCTCTGTGATCCTATTCCTATTAATCCCCCGCAATTTGTTGGTATCGAGCGACAAACAATATAAGGACCAAGAGGTACATTCATGAGTGCTCGAAGTAACGACTCGACATTCTATCTGCAAAGCCTTCTTTCAAGAATGAGCATGAAAAGTGGTTTCGAGAGCGTCGGAAACAGCGTCGTCGGTCTGCTGCTGTTTGTCCGCATGTTGACTTGGAATCCTGGCTTTCTTCGTGATCGTTCGTGAAAATGCGCTCAACGATGTCGAGGTACTTGTTTCTATCATACCCTCAACCTATACCTCCATCCCTTGTCGCGCTGAGACGCGCGCGCTTCTAGTCCTTGCTCACCGTGCTATTAGTTCTACTACCGATGAACGAACAGTTAGCCAGAGCGTAGCGTTACCGTGACTTGACTATATAATAGGGTCTTCATCAAGCCTCTGTAGCAACGTCCTTTTTCTTTTTCTTCGTCCTCCCCGCCCGATCGTCGGAATCCACTTCTGTATGCCGTCGCTTCCGCTTCTCTTCAACTGTAGGGGCTGCTTCTTCTTTGGGAGCGACATATACCTCTGCCCGTTCCGCTCGTCGTTTAAGCGTTGCTTCAGCTTGCTGCAGATAAAATCAGATTTGTTGTAGATCGCACTGCAAAGCACGCACTTTTTGTTTTCTTTGTTGAACTTCCCGGGCTTCTCGCTCATGGACCTTGAGGAAATACTCTCCCGACTCAAGCTGAAGGTCAACCTGGACATAACGTCAGCACTGCTCAACAAACAGCGGCAGAGAAAATTACCTTCCGTGGTTGCTGTGGCGGGGGGAAGGGTGTGTACACTTTCTTTGCTGGTTTCTCCTTTTTGGTGCGTGTTCCGTCATCAGCTGCGAGTTTCTCATTCTTCTTGCTCGTCTTTTCAGAGGTTTTTAGATGTCGTTTCCTGAACTTGGGCAGGAACCGGTCCCAGGACTCTGTTGCCAACTTGGGATCCTTTGCAAGTTCTCTTCTTATCATGAGCTCCTGCGAACGATTCAATAGAGCTGCGGAAGGAACACATGTTGGTGGGCACACCTCACCTTGATGCGGTAGATAGGATGAATGTTTTTCATGCAATCGAGGACTATTCGTCGAACTTCCTTGAGTGACTTGTACGGACCCATGACGCTGACTGTATTTCCTTGTACGAGAACGTAACACTGAGTTAAAAGCTCGATGGCCTGCAAAAAGTTAATGGCATGCAGATAGTCGAAGTTATGGGATACTCACCTTCAGCGTACTCCCATCTGGTCCAATAAGTCGTTGTCTCCGCTTCACAAACCGGTCCTTATTACGAACCAGATTGCCAATTTTGATGATGTCGCATGCCATGTCGTCCTGCAATACCTTCTGAGCCTGAGTGATTGCGACCCCTCTTGCAAGCAGCTTGATGATGTCTCTCGCTTTCAGAATGATGTATGGATCGAATGTTTTGCGTGTCGTTCGGACGGACATGGACCCATGAACCAAGTCCAATGTGCACGCGATGCCCTGGATGCTGAGTCAATGGTGTGGTATGGCGGAAACTGATGCGCTGACTCACATATGGGTCCAGAACCTTAGTCACAGCGCTCCAAACCTCCCTCAGGTAGTTCTCCCTATATTTTGGGAAAAGGGTTGCGAAAGAAGATTCCTCAGTAAATATGCCGCCTTTGTTGTGATCTGGTTGGAAGGGTTCGATTGTCCACTGGAAAAGATTTGAGCATGTGTTGACAGTAAATATAACGGTGCTTACACTGGAGAGGAGATGCAATGAGAAATGATTTTAACTGGTATGAAGATGATACTTACTGGTCGATGTCATCGGTGTCCCATGCTGAAACGCAACCTCACGGTTACCTTCACGGATTGTTAAAATGTAGAAACTTACGTTTCTCTTTGCGATGCTTTTTGTTTTTGTTGATGACCGGTTGCTCGCCTGAAGTAGCTGCCATCGTTGCAAGCAAATTGAAAGTTGTCGCCAAGTTGTCGCAGTAAATTAGTGCTTACCCGTAGACGTGACTGTGTGACAGCGGCAGTGCAGCACGTGGCATCTCTTGTCACATTAATGTGACACAGCGACACTCTGGAGTCTGCGTATCCCATGTTGCGTTGATCAAGTTGCACATCTTCTCATGCGGTGAACCTCAGTCGATGTATACGGATTTTTCTACCATGCAATACCTCCAGAAGGCACGCTCTCACTCGAAGAGCTACATTCCATCATTAGTAATGTGTGGTTAACACGCCATGACGATGAGCTTGAGCAGGAGAGAGCTGCTCGCCACAAGGGCCGACCAAAAAGTACCAAGGAGTTGAAGCTGGAGGAGATCAAGCTCCGTGAATCAGAACAATACCGCACAGGAAATTGATTTGTTCATACTGCCTTGCCTTTGTTGATCATATTGCGCAGATGTGCCTGGTCTTACACATGAAGCTGCCGTTAAGCTATTCCGCAAATGGGATCAAATGGAAGTTGCTTACATCCAGCTCCTACGTTTCATCCGAATCAGCAGTGTAGATGGGAACACCATTCCCTCAAAGAATCAGTTCCTCCGCAAGCCATCGATGAAGCCATGGCCACTGATTGTGATGACACGCTCCTCATTGAACCACCATCACGGTTCGCAAGTACGACGACGACGATGGATGGTCCACTAGACACAAAAATTGAATACCAATGTTGGTGGTATCTACTGTAAAATAATTTTACATGTCTCACAGATCGTACCAGCAAGCTAATCAACGTACACTAACCTCTCGCTAAATTCGTACCCTCCCATCTCGGTTTCTGTAGGGCTGAAAAGTGGACTATTCGGTGTCATCAGCATTCGTGGAATGTCCAACTCCCAGTTCCTTCTCAGCCTTTGGTAAATTGCCTGGAAGCTTGATAACGCGCCCCTTTCCTGTATCAAGTGTAGTACAACCTGATATCCAGCAGTGATTTGCACAGGCGTCGGCCTCTGCACCTCCACGCGGAACCGCACTGACTTCAGTGCCGGCAGAAATCCAGATAGATCCTTCGTATCGTCTGTTCTGCACTTGAGCACACCTGAATGTTCCGCATGCGTGAGGACTACGCGGACGCCCATGTTCACCAGCATTCGACGGCACTCCTCGCGTGATGTGAACCCGTCATGCGTGGACAGAAGCTGGTACGTTACTGGCTTGAACTTGAAAACACTATCAAGCCAACGCCGCCGCGGCGTCGCGGGAAGAGTGAATGAGCTGTCAGAAAACGCAGGTGAGACGGCGGCTGGGGTGTCACTGCCGCCTTTCTTGCGTAGCTTGTTGAGCGGGGGCTCAATGATTTGCACGCGGAGCGCAGGCCGTCTGTCAGCATCGTTGCTCCGCAGAGATGACTTCTTGACGATTCCGGGTCCACTGACACTGAGAGATATATTCTCCTTATCGGCCTCTCCGAACTGGCTTCGTCGTTCGCGCCTTATATCCGCGCCGGATATGATCTCCTGGGGTGACGAATAGCCTCTGGTCTGCACAACGTTGCCTTTCCGATGCTTGTCGAATTCGATATTGACAGGTGTGGGTAGAACTGAGGTGTTTCCAAGATCAAGATGGGGTGTGCCTGCAGTGCGCGCCTCCATAGCATTAAGATGTTCCACAATTTGCCGGAAAAAATGCTGCATTTTATCATCCTTGAGTTCCGGGACTTCAATCGCGGGCAAATTTGTAGAACCAGCCGTGGGTGATAAGGGCGATGTTAGAGATGTGATATATGATGACAAAGGAGAGCGGAGATCAGCCCCTGGACGTGGCGGTGTCGGTGAACACAGAGTTATACGAGGAACGCCTAGTTGTATGCAGTCTCTATCACTGTCATCGCTGTGCAGGGGAAGCGTGCGACCAGCTGCGCTACGTGGAGTCGGAGGAGCTGCGCGAGGGGGAAGAAATGAAGGCGCGCGTGCCAGGTGGGGTGTTTCGGATGTGGTCCCAGTCATGCCCTGAGGGTCATTCCCAATTGATTTCTTCCTACGTGTCTTTCTTTGCACCATCTCCTCTTCCTCGTCGTAATTTTCCAAGTGTTTGTCCCGATAATTGGTGAGCAGTCGGTAAACGCCTTTTTGCCAGTTTGGCTCGGAGCTCTTGAGGCTAGTTTTGATGTCTTCCTCGGATGTATCGTGCCAAAGCGTGCGGAGGTTCGAGAGAATATCTTGGTCAATGTCTTCAAGGTCAGAGAGAGGTCTTGCTATATCATTAAGCCTCGGCGTGCTCGCGTCGACAGACTTTGGCTTTTGGGAAAGGTAGAATGGGTGAGTGAGAATTTCAGGGATCGTGATACGTTTCACAACGTCCTTCTGCAGCATCTTTGTGATAAGATCCTTGGCCAAGAGATCGATCCCGGCTGGCATATCAAACTTTCCCGACTTGACTTTATCTAGCAGTGTTGGTAGGTCCTCATCATCGAACGGAAGGCGTCCCACAAGCAAGGCAAATAGAATCACGCCACAAGACCAGATATCAGAAGCGCGTCCATTGTACTCCTTCCCCATGATGACTTCCGGGGCCGCATAATGAGGGCTTCCACATGCCGTCTGAAGTAAACCATTTTTGGACCTAGCCTGCCAACCAGCCATACCAAAGTCTGCGACCTTGATGTTCTTGTTTTGGTCCATGAGAAGGTTCTCAGGCTTGAGATCTCTATGCGCAATGTTGAGTCGATGACAATAGTCGATTGCGGAGATGATTTGCTGGAAGTAGCCCAATGCTTCGAAGGTGGATAGCCGCCCCTTGTTGCACAGATAATCGAAGAGCTCGCCACCCTCTACGTACTCAAGAATAAGATAGAGCTCGCTGGAGGTCTCCCACACGTCATAGAGGCGCATTATGTTTGGATGGTCGATGAGCTTCATGATCACGATTTCACGTTCAATGCTGAGAAGCATATGCTCCGCGGAGTCGACAAGTTTGGTGATAGAGTTCACGAGGATGTTTTTAGACACAATCTTTACTGCGGCATATTGTCCTGTTTTTGAATGTCGTGCGATCCTTACGCGGCCTAGTTGGGATCAGTGAAAGCGCATGGTTTGCCAGCAACTCAGATAGATACCTGAGCTTCCCTTGCCAATAGTCCTTCCGATCTTCCATAGTCCAATCATCTTTGGATCGTCCCCGCTACGATTCCGCCGCGGAAGCCTTGGATAGTCTTCGTTGTCCATAGTGGTTAGTAAGAAAGACTGGGCTGACAGATTTTCGGGCAAAGAGTAGCCAAATAGAAACAAATAACACGCTCATTAGTTCGAGTCACGCGTTTTGACTTTCTTGCCGCCAACCTTCAAGCTTCATCCCCTGACACTACAAGGACTTGCAAAGTACTATTACAACCAAGAACAACATATCTGTTTTATTGATTTCCTAAGATAATGATGCAGCCTACGCCTGCACCGACATCGCCTTCAGGCTCACCAGGACCGATTCACGATGAAGAAACTATAGCCTATCCACTTCCTCCGCAAAACAATGGCAGTGCTCCCTTTTCAGTACTAGCTGGGCTATTTGAGAAGTTATCAACAGAAAGAAAGCCCGAACGAAGACGGCGACTTTTGGATGTCTGGTTCAACGTATGTTTTGTCTACGAACAAAACCAGTATTGACACGTCTGTGGCGCCAGCATTGGAGAGAAGAAATCGGGCATGATCTTTACCCCGTTCTCCGCCTGATCCTCCCACAGGCACGTTTGCTGTCACTTTAAAAATTATTTGGGTAAGCTGAACGTGTGAGCAGAAAGATCGTGAGCGTGCTGTGTATGGCCTGAAGGAGAAGAACCTCGCCAAGACCTACATCAAACTGATCCCACTCGGCATAAGAGATCCAGATGCGATCCGCTTGCTCAACTGGAAGAAGCCCACCGAAAAAGATGTTTGTATCTTGTATTACGTTTGTTGAGCACGTTTGTTGAACTTTCCCTAGAAAAGCTCTGGTGACTTCCCCACAGTTTTGTACGAGGTCGTGAGCAAGAGATCCTCCGTCGTCGAGGGAAGCCTGACAGTCTATGATTTGAATGAAATTCTGGATGACTTGTCCAAGAACATCGGCAAGCAGTACGCATGATGATTTTCGATAGGCTCTTTGGCTAACAATAGTACACAGTGACATTCAGTCTAGAATCCTGCAGCGTATTTACAATCGTGCTACTGCTGAGGAACAGCGGTGGATTGTGCGTATAATTTTGAAAGGCATGTTTTCTTCCGTCATGGCTTCAATCATGTGTCAACTTTTCAAGACATGGTCATTTCTGTGAAGGAAACCACCGTCTTTGGCGTGTTCCATCCGGATGCGCAAGATCTGTTCAACATCTGTTCGGACCTCAAGAAGGTTGCTTGGGAGCTATGGGATCCTTCAAGGAGGTTGAATGCTGAGGTATAAATTTTCCTATTCATTGAGGATTTAAGAGCTGATATGACATAGGATAAATCCATCCAATTGTTCCGTGCATTTGCGCCGATGCTGTGCAAAAGACCGGCCCATAAGATTGAGGACTCTGTGAAGGAAATGCAAGGACATAAATTTATTATCGAAGAGAAACTCGATGGCGAGCGCATGCAGCTGCACAAGCGCGGAAATGAATACTTCTACTGTTCGAGGTGGGATTTTTCGCGTGTACCAATGACCTGAATTGACCTTTGATTTAGGAAAGGAAAAGATTATACTTACTTGTACGGACAGCATGTCGGGCAGGGCAGTTTAACGCCTTTTATTGACTCTGCGTTCGATGAGCGGATCGACGAGTTGAGTTTATCTCGACGTTTCATTCGTTTGTAATTGAAGTTATGTTGCAGTATCATTCTCGATGGAGAAATGCTAGTCTGGGACCCTGTTTCTGAACGTAACTTGCCATTTGGTACCTTGAAGACAGCTGCACTTGGTCGGTGTCTCCAGTTAGTCATCTGTCTAAGTGCTTATGATACCCCTCAGATAAATCAAAGAAGGAACACAATCCTAGACCATGCTGTATGTGTGCACTATTCTAGATTTTGCAGCAACCCTTACTTCAATCTAGTTAAGGTTTTTGACCTCCTCTATCTCAATGGCATGTCCCTCCACCAGAAGTCACTCAAGTTCCGCAAGCGCAACTTGCGCGCATGCATCAAAGAGGTTCCGGGCCGCATTGAATTCACCGCGGAGTTCGAAGGCAAGACCGCCAAAGATGTTCGGCAGAAGATGGACGAAGTGATGGCGTCAAGAGGGGAAGGCCTTGTGATCAAACACCCTGACTCCGAGTACATCTTAAACGGCAGAAACAAGGATTGGATCAAGGTTAAGCCAGAATATATGGTAAATAGATCGAGGCGCCCCCTTACATTTACGCTCACAGTACTTTCAGGACAATATGGGCGAGACCGTGGACGTGTTAGTAGTCGGTGAGTCCGTAGATCTACTGTCTTCACTCAGCATACAACCGCAATGTAGCTGGCAATTACGGCACTAGAAAACGTTCAGGAGGTGTCTCGACACTCATCTGCGCAGTCCTCGACGATCGGCGCCCGGAGGGTGACGAAGAGCCGAAGTAAGTCTTGCAATAGATTCAGCATCTTGTGTATACACATTCATGGATACTAGGTACAGCACCTTTGTCCGAGTGGGCACAGGTTTATCATTTGCAGACTACATCTGGCTCAGACAAAAGCCTTGGAAAGTATGGGATCCAAAACATCCCCCAGAATTTCTACAAACTGCAAAAAAGACATACGAAGACAAAGGCGATTTGTATCTGGAACCAGAGGAGTATGACCCATACTTTATCTGCTGGCACAGACTGACGATATGATTGTCAGTTCGTTCATACTGAAGGTCAAGGCAGCTGAGATCACGACTTCAGGTATCGCGCAATCATTTTGAACGCGTTGTCTCGCTGATGTGCCATGTGAAATAGACCAATATCATTTGGGCGTTACTATGAGGTTTCCTCGAGCTTTGTCAATTCGCGACGACCTGTACATTGCAGATTGCATGACTGCATCAGGTGCGTGCCTTTGTATTCCATCAGTACAAAACCTAACCTGTTTTAGCTGTTCTGGAGAGTATGCGCTCCGAGCGTAAAAGAAAGATGGAGAGTGATGCCGGGTAACTGATCGTTGGTTTTCTCATCAATACCTATGTTAATCTTTAATAGCATGTCCAAGAAGAAGCGAAAGACAACGGCAAAGAAGGTATGTATGTTTAGGGTTTTTCGTGCTATCGTTGTCTGAGCATCTCTCAGGCAACTGTCCTACCACAATACCAAGGACCTAATCTACGTGCAGTCGAGATTGAGTCAGATCTATTTGAGGATATGAAATTCAGTGAGTCCTACTTACTGCCTGGTGTTCGATCAACGGTGACTTTGATTGTAAGTGGTGTCGTCAGACCCAAAATCACGAACAGGCAATCAAGACCGTCAGGAACTGATGAAATTGTAAGACAGGGTCATATCTGAAAAAAAATATCTAGATCTGAGTTCCCCACAGGATCCATGCCAATGGGGGTAGCTGCGTGCAAGTTGTTACATCCAAACAGCCTGTTATAGTCATTTATGGAGGGACGGCTACGCGTGAGTATCTATGCACTGATATTTCAACTACTCCGAGGGACTAATCACAATCTCGCAGCTTACGACATTAAGCTGTTGATTGACAAGGACAGTGTTGACATCATCAGGCCTCAGTGGGTCACGGATTGTATACACCGGGGAGAGCTCGTTCCTCTTAGAAAGATGTAGGTGTTGCAGTACTTGTTTCTGCAAAGGATCACACTTGTTTTAGGTACTTCTTCCACGCCACTTTAGCACGTCAAGAATCCGACGATTATCATCAGCTGGACACTGACGAGGACCAAGAAATGACTGATGGAACTGTAGAGGAAGACGCGAGCCTGAACATATCAATCACCCCAGAAGGCTTTAAGCCGAAACTTGAAGAAACTGAGGACACTGATCCTGAACTTGCGGACTGGTTTCAAGTCGACGCCAAGCCTGCCGTTTCAGAAGACAGTGAAACGGAGGATGAATCTGATGCGGATTCAAACAACGATGATGTCAAAGAGGAAGATGATGATGAGTGGTTCCAAGTGCCCTACAGTCCCGCTGTTAAGCCCCTTGATGACAACGTGCGTGATTTTATTGTATGGCATAACCATCATTCACTAGTTATCCCGACAGTCGAACACCACACTTCATTCACAGTCACAGGTAAGGGTTTCTTCATTCATGCGGCGTCCTGTTACAATGACATCAGGACATGGCAATGGGGGAAGACGACCAAGCGAGGGAATACGATGCAACAGCAATATTCAGGCATCTGTAGGTCTCGTGTCTTCCAGGTTATCGGCTCTCACTGTCGGTGGTAGTTGCTTTTACCTTGACACGCCAGGCAATGCGCGGAGAAACGGCATGCCGGTGAAAACCAAGTATGAACGGGAGATCTCCACTACGTGAGCTTTCTCTTCAGGTGCCAAGTATCGTTTTCCTGATATCAAACCTCGATACTCTAAGCTTCGACCAGGTTTCAAGAAGCATCCAGGAGAATGGCGGAAAGATAGTGGCACTCGACGATCCAAAACTCACGCATGTTGTCTTGGACAAGCGAGACGACTCACGACGATTGACGCTCATACAGCGTACCTCGAGGTAAGTGCTCATATACAATCTTATCATACACAACTGAGGCAAATCTTAGACCTAAACGACGCCGATTGGTGATATCCGATTACGTGACAGCTTGTTTAGAAGAAGATTCGTTACTTGATGAGGAAGGTGAGAAGTCTTAGTTGCTATCGGTCTTCAGGAACGTTCTATGCTGAAATTGTCACTCTTAGATTTTGCTCCATAGTACTTATCATTGCTTCATTGCTTCCTTGATTGTACAATTCTTATTCAATGTGTTTCCTCAAAAATATTTTTGGGGTTGCCTTTTTACATTGAGTTAGGGGCTGAGTGATCAGGAGAGCCTTCCTGGGGAAAAAATGATATAATTTTCAAAAAAGTTGATATTCAGTCAGATAATTCCAGAAAGTCTGGGAATCTGAATTTCTGGCAGTCTGTCTGGATCTGTCTGTGCACAACAAGGTGCTACATTTCTGCTCATATAATGTATTACTATTAGTATCATACTCCTTTGCATACAAATTATAGTGACTTGTGAGCTGGACAGATCCAGCTAGGCATTGGCATGGGTAAACCTGTGGGTGCCAGGAGCTCGACCTGCACCTGTACCCATATACCTGAGGATACCAGCAGGTATGGGTACCATGACAGGT